CAGTGTGGAATGCCCTGGGCTCTGGGTGGGTGCTGGCACAGTGTGGAATGCCCAGGGCTCTGAGTGGACTCAGTGTGGAATGCCCGGGGCTCTGGGTGGGCGCTGGCGCAGTGTGGAATGCCCAGGGCTCTGGGTGGGCGCTGGCGCAGCGTGGAATGCCCAGGGCTCTGGGTGGACTCAGTGTGGAATGCCCAGGGCTCTGGGTGGGCGCTGGCGCAGCGTGGAATGCCCAGGGCTCTGGGTGGGCGCTGGCGCAGTGTGGAATGCCCAGGGCTCTGGGTGGGCGCTGGCTCAGTGTGGAATGCCCGGAGCTCTGGGTGGACTCAGTGTGGAATACCTGAGACTCTGGGTGGGCGCTGGCGCAGTGTGGAATGCCCGGAGCTCTGGGTGGACTCAGTGTGGAATACCTGAGACTCTGGGTGGGCGCTGGCTCAGTGTGGAATGCCCGGAGCTCTGGGTGGGCGCTGGCGCAGTGTGGAATGCCCAGGGCTCTGAGTGGGCGCTGGCGCAGTGTGGAATTTCCAGGGCTCTGGGTGGACTCAGTGTGGAATACCTGGGACTCTGGGTGGGCGCTGGCTCAGTGTGGAATGCCCAGGGCTCTGGGTGGGTGTTGGCGTAGTGTGGAATGCCCAGGGCTCTGGGTGGGCGCTGGCGCAGTGTGGAATGCCCAGGGCTCTGAGTGGACTCAGTGTGGAATACCTGGGGCTCTGGGTGGGCACTGACTCAGTGTGAACGAGACCTAGTGCTCAGTGCCACTTCTCACCACTACCAACCCTCTTGTGTTCTCTGCCTGGCCCTCTCCCATGCTTTCCCTCCCTCTCCCTCCCCCCTCCTCTAAGCCCATCCCAGCCCCTCCCCACCCTGAGGAGCCTTTCTACAGGGCCAGCCCATCCCAGACCCTCCCACCCTGAGGGAATTTTCTGCAAGGCCAGCCTGGCTTCCTTTAGCTTCCAGCAGTCCCTCTGAGACAGGTTTCAGGATGCCTCCCTTTCCTTGGGTGGGGTCCGGGTCTGGAAGAGCAGATGCAGTGGTGTGGGCAGTGCTGAGGGCAGAGATGAGGGCAGTGCTGAGGGCAGAGTGAGGGCAGAGGTGAGGGCATAGGTGAGGGCAGTGGTGAGGGCAGTGCTGAGGGCAGAGATGAGGGCAGAGGTGAGGGCAGAGGTGAGGGCAGAGGTGAGGACAGTGGTGAGGATAGTGGTGAGGGCAGTGGCATGGACAGAGGTGAGGGCAGTGGTGAGGGCAGTGGTGAGGGCAGTGGTGAGGGCAGTGGTGAGGGCAGAGGTGAGGGCAGAGGTGAGAGCAGTGGTGAGGGCAGAGGTGAGGGCAGAGGTGAGGGCAGTGGTGAGGGCAGTGGTGAGGGCAGAGGTGAGGGCAGTGGTGAGGGCAGTGGTGAGGGCAGAGGTGAGGGCAGTGGTGAGGACAGTGGTGAGGGCAGTGGTGAGGGCAGAGGTGAGAGCAGAGGTGAGGACAGAGGTGAGGGCAGAGGTGAGAGCAGTGGTGAGTACAGAGATGAGGGCAGAGATGAGAGTAGTGGCGAGGACAGTGGTGAGGGCAGTGGTGAGAGCAGTGGTGAGGACAGTGGTGAGGGCAGTGGTGAGGGCAGTGGTGAGGGCAGAGGTGAGGGCAGTGGTGAGGGCAGTGGTGAGGGCAGTGGTGAGGGCAGTGGTGAGGGCAGTGGTGAGGGCAGAGGTGAGGGCAGAGGTGAGGGCAGTGGTGAGGGCAGTGGTGAGGGCAGTGGTGAGGACAGAGGTGAGGGCAGAGGTGAGGGCAGTGGTGAGGGCAGAGGTGAGGGCATAGGTGAGGGCAGTGGTGAGGGCAGAGATGAGGACAGAGGTGAGGGCAGAGGTGAGGGCAGAGGTGAGGGCAGAGGTGAGGGCAGAGGTGAGGGCAGTGGTGAGGGCAGTGGTGAGGGCAGAGGTGAGGGCAGTGGTGAGGGCAGAGATGAGGGCAGTGGTGAGGGCAGTGGTGAGGGCAGTGGTGAGGGCAGTGGTGTGGGCAGCGGCCCTGGTCTGGGCACCCTTTGCTCACTGGTCTGTCCGCCCGCAACAGGGTTTCTGTACTGCTTCCCTGCACTCTCCCTGCTCGGGCTCTTCCCGCAGATCAACACCTTCTGCACCTACCTTCTGGAACAGATTGACATGCTGCTCTTCGGAGGCTCGGGTAAGTGCCTCCCACACAGGTCAGAGAAGGTGGATGGCCGGAGACCGCCTGCCCAGGGCCAGCTGTCCCCCGCCTGCGCCCCTGCGGTGGCTGCGCCTCTTTGGCGGGGTGGGGCCCTCAGACATCCCCGGCTCCTCTTGGAACAGGAAGGGGCGCATGTGGCCACGCTTGGTGGGTCAAGTCCCTGCGGAAGGGAAGGATACGCTGCGGCCTGGAGTCGGTTGGGGGCCTTTGCTAGTTCTTGGAACGAGCTTCAAGAGGAAGACAGAGAGAGGGACAGGGGATGTGGTGGGAGAGGAGGGGGAGGAGGGGGAGGGGAGGGGCTGTGGTGGAAGGGGGAGAGGGAGTATGGTGGGAGGAGGGAGGGGTGCGGGGGGAGGGGGAGGGGTATAGAGGGGGTGAATGGTGAGAAAGGAAAGAGAGAATGGTGAGGAGGGAAGGGGTGCATGTGCATTTGTCCTTGAGGTCTGGGTATATGAGTGGACGAGTGTGTGTGTGTGAGAGTGTGTGTGTGTGTGTGTGTGTGTGAGTGTGTGTGTAAGTGGGGGGGACCAGCCCCCTCCTCCACACTGTACACCCACCATCTTGTCAGGCCCTCCCTCCCTCCTCCCTGCCTCCAGTGCTGTTCCTTCTGCGCCTCCTCCCTGTACTATTGTAGCTGTGGTGATTTTGGCTTTGGCAGCTCATTGGTGTCTGAATGCCTCTGCTCTCCTCCCTGCCTCTCCATGTCCACAACCTGGTGAGGGCCTGTCTAGCTGAGGTGTGTGTTTGTGTGTAGCTGAAGTGTGTTTGTGTCTAGCTGAGGTGTGAGTTTGTGTCTAGCCAAGGTGTAAGTTCGAGTCTAGCTGAGGTGAGTTCATGTCTAGCTGAGGTGTGAGTTTGTATCTAGCCAAGGTGTGTGTTCGTGTCTAGCCGAGGTGTGAGTTTGTGTCTAGCCAAGGTGTGTGTTCGTGTCTAGCCAAGGTGTGTGTTCGTGTCTAGCCGAGGTGTGAGTTTGTATCTAGCCAAGGTGTGAGTTCATGTCTAGCCAAGGTGGGTGTTTGTGTTGCAGCCGTCTCTGGGATCCTGTCGGCCCTGTACAGCGTGGGGCGGAGTGTCTTGGTGACGGTGCTGCTCCACGCCGTCTGCTTCAGCGCGGTGAAGGTAGGTTCTGCCAGACACGGCCCTCCCTCCACCCGTCCCTGTGCCTGTGGACCAGGTTTTCTCTAATCATGGAAGACAGAGCGTCTGAGCATTGGGTGACAGGGCTTGAGCTTGGTGAGGCCTCAGTCGGTGTTGCCAGACCAAGGTGCCCGGCTGCCCTGCATGGCTACCCAACATCACTGGAAAATTCTAAGAGGCTGTGGAAACTGCTGGAGAATCTCATATCTAAGTAGGCAAAAGTTACTGGGCACCATGGCTCACGCCTATAATCCTAGCTACTCAGGAGCCTGGGAGCTGAGGATCCGGGGCAGCCCGCCTAGACAGACAAATGTGCGAGACTCTGCTCTCCAGTTAACCAGCAAAAACCTGGACATGGAGATGTGGCTCAAGTGGTAAAGCATCAGCCTTGAGCAAAAAAGCCATGTAAGAGTTCAAGGCCCTGAGTTCAAGCCCCAGGGCTAGCACTCAATAAACAGGAGGATCTTCAGGTTCTCTCCCTGCAGCTGAGGGTAGGCTTTCTTGCCTTCCATCCCCACTGAGCTTCCTTTTCCTGCGAGGCCCCGCAGACAGATGCTGGGGCTTGTCCCCTCCATGGTCAGCTGTGCGTGGCATCCAGTGGGTAGAGCCAGCAGCAGGTGCTGACCTGGGCAGAGCCTTGCCTTTCTGTTCTGCCCCCTGTGTGAGGCATGGTAGAAGTGGAAGTGGGGGTTGATTCCATTGTGAAGTCACGCTGCGTGCAGTCTCACACTGTGTGCAGACATGTTGTGTGTAGTCACACCATGTGCAGTCACGTTGTATATACTCATGCTGTGTGCAGTCAGACTGTGTGCAATCACGTTGTGTGAAGTCACACTGTGTGCAACCATGCCATGTACAGTCACACTGTGTGGTCACGCTGTGTGCATTCATACTTTGTGCAGTCACGTGTACAGTCACACTGTGTGTAGTCACACTGTGCAGTCACATTGTGTGCGGTCATAATGTGTGCAGTCATGTTGTGTGCAGTCACCTGTGAAGTCATATTGTATGCAGTCACGTTGTGTGCAGCCACACTCTGTGAAGTCACGCCATGTGCAGTCATGTTGTGTGCAGTCACACTGTGTGCAGTCACGCCATTTGCAGTCACACTGTGTGCAGTCATACTATGTCATACTATGTGCAATCACGTTGTATGCAGTCATGCTGTGTGCAGTCACATTGTGTGCATTCACGACATGTGCAGTCATACTGTGTGCAGTCATACTGTGTGAAGTCACGTTGTGTGCAGTCATGCTGTTTGCAGTCATACTGTGTGCAGTCACATTGTGAAGTCACATCGTATGCAGTCACGACATGTGCAGTCATATGTGTGCAGTCACGCTGTGTGCAGTCACACTGTGCAGTCACACCATGTGCAATCATGTGTACAGTCACACTGTGTGCAGTCACGCAATGTGCAGTCATACTGTGTGCAGTCGTGTTGTGTACAGTCACGCTGTGTGCAGTCATGTTGTGTGCTGTCACGCTGTGTGCAGTCACATTGTGTGCAGTCACATTGTGTACAGTTACACTGTGTGAAGTCACGTTGTGTGCAGTCACATTGTGTGTAGTCACACTGTGTGCAGTCACACTGTGTGCAGTCACGCTGTGTGCAGTCACGTTGTGTACAGTCACACTGTGTGAAGTCACATTTTGTGCAGTCACACTGTGTGAAGTCATGTTGTGTGCAGTCATGCTTTGTGCAGTCACACTATCTGCAGTCACATTGTGTGCAGTTACACTGTGTGAAGTCACGTTGTGTGCAGTCATGCTGTGTACAGTCACACTGTGTTCCCTGGGATGGGAAAGGCGCTCGGATTCAGGGTTCCTCTTGTAATCGGGACAGCCTTCCAGTAGGTGGGGACCAGACACTGGAAGATCTCCCTCCTCTCGGCGGTAATGACTTCTTGTTTAGTGCTGGTAATAAATAGAGTGTTTTAACAAAGCCGTATTGCGCTGGCTCTGTCTGGAAATGCCTTTGTTAAGAGACAAATAGAGCAATTTGCATGTCTCTTCTCATCTGTGAGTGGTGAGCTCTCTAATGGTCTCACCTTAACTTTCCACTCAGTGGCGAAGCACCTATTAAATGCTGTGAATTGTGTGAGCGTGGTTAGCAAGCCCACGGGGCATCCTCAGGAAGGAAGCAAGCCTGCCCACCTGCAAGCTGCGATCCCACTGCTGCCTCCCCATGCATCTGTTTATGCCTCTGATGCTTACACCGCATTACTGGGCCGACCACTTCTCCACCATCTCTGCCCCAGGGAGGCCCACGGGACCTCCTGAGCAATTGGGCTGCCAGCTGCCCGGCCAGAGGCGCTGTGCCGGTTTGGGTCTGGAGATGTGTCTGTTTCCTTGATTCTTTATGACAATCACACAGTAGAAGTAGACGGAGGGGCTAAGAATTTCACTCTCTGGAACATTAACTAGGGAAGGGAAATTTGATTCTTCTTCGATTTGTGTCCTGCACCTCCTCAAGATGGCGGCATGTCGCACTGCCAGCACGCACACCAACTCCCTCGCCAACCCCAAGATCTGACAGTGATGCGCAGAGCCAGCTAGGATATTTGCTCCCTGGAGAAATGGCTTTGTAGTTAATTAGCCGTGCTTTGCATTTGTCTGGGTAAACCAGGGTTTCTATGTTTTATTATCCCTGACAAAGAGATTCTGCTTTATTGATGACAAGGGAATCTGGAGGTTGAAGCATGTTGTTCTGATTGAATGTGCCCCTAGCCTCATTAACACCCGCCAGCTGACGGCCCTCCCACCGCCCTGCAAGTACCACGCGGGCTTCGGCCCTGTGTACTGGGTTCAAAATCTCATTGTAGATAGAAAACAAACTCATGGTTTGGGATTTATTCTCGGCGCCAGAGTAGACTTTGTCCTCTGGTGAAACCTCCACATTTTGCTATTCAAGATGAGGAGAGAGGTCCAGAGAGGTGGAGGACAGCACTGAGCATCCAGTATCAGGCTCAGGCCCACACCTGTGTGTCTGTAGTCTCCCTCTCCACTGAAGTACAACTGTGAGTGTGTGTGTGTGTGTGTGGCTGTCGGCATTGATTTCAGAGAGGAGGAAGAAGAATGCAGGCAGCATTCCAACGTGGAATTGTCCAACTTGGAATTGAGTGGCTGCGTGAGCACAGACCACGTGGATTGATTCCAAAAAGGGCAGCACTGACAGGGTCCTTTGGGAGTGAGGCATGTGAAGGGGCAGGGTGGGGGGGGCGTGGGGGCCCTGGGCCCACGGGTGGACGTGGCGATGGTGGCCAGGATGGGGAGAATGCCTGGCCCTGAGGTGTTGTGGGAGAAATGACTTTCAGAGCCTGAGACACAGCGTCGCGTGGCTGGTGCTCTCCAAGGTGGCAAGCCGTGCACCATCCTGTCTTGGGCACCAGGAACATAGGGGTGGAGAGCGACACGCAATGGCAAGGTTCCAGAGGTAGGGGAGGGCCCCGTGTGCACATTTGTGGGCTGGCGTGCACTCGGTGTGTAGGTACCACCCTGGCTGGTGACAGCTGGCATGTGTGTGCACCACTCCCCTTCTCGCTAGACCCTAAGCATTGGAAGTCACAGGTTGCCCTTATTTATGCTTCATTTTCTGGCCCTTTTTCCAGTCCAGCAAGTGTCACATAAAGTGTTAAATTTTCTATTGAATACTTACCAGTGACCTGGAAGAAGGCTGCTAAACATAGAGTTGTGTGTATGTGCGTCTATACAGAGAGGTGTGTGTGTGTGTGTGTGTGTGTGTGTGTGTGTGTGTGTGTACAGGTCGGCTTACATACACGGGGGCTGTCATCTGCCTGCCAGCCAGCAAACTGGGTTTTTCCCGGTGTCTCCCCTACGGCGAGGTGTGGTTTCCACTCATGAGTGGGAGTCTTGCCACGAAGACGGACATGAGCATGGAATAAGAAGTATCATTAGCACTTGCTGAAGGCTGGCTTGTCACGTTTGCCAGCCTTGCCCATTCTCAGGCTTACTGGGCACCTCCCACCCTCTGCTTTGAGCAGGACCCAGAGCAGGGCGCTGGCAGCCCATGTGTCCAGGGCCTACAAGGACCTGAGCTGCTTTGGGGACCCACAGTGGAGTATGGAGTATGCCCATCGCCACCCACACTTATGGCCCAGGACACTCCGGGGCCTTGGGTGAGGTGGGAACAGAGACTCCAGTTCAAGAGCTGAGCAACACATTGGACCTTCCTGAGCCTCTCAGCCCCAACTGCCTCTCACTCAGAGAGGAGATTCATGACAAGTGTAGAACAAAGCCAAGTGCCTCACACCTCTACTACCAGCTACTCTGGGACTGAGATCTGAAAGCTGCAGTCCCCACCAGCCCAGGCAGAAAAGTTCCCTAGACTTCATCTCTGAAAAGCAGGGCTTGGGGTGTGGCTCAAGTGGTAGAACACCAGCCAGGCAAGCGCAAGGCCTGGAGTTCTCTCTCCAGTACCACCACCAAAGAAAAAAACCGCACACGAGATGTCCCAGAGTCAAAATGATGGGATGCGGTCTAGCTCTTATTTTAGGATGTCTGAAAACCTGGCTTGCAAACTTCTCCGGCTTTGTGGGCTAAGAGGATATGTTTCTGGGTGTTCAAGGAGGAGGCGTTGCAGTCTCCTCTGAAAGGCACAGTGGGAGCGTGACCTGTTTGTGTTCACTTTGTAAGCACACTCAGCTTGTCGGCCCGTAAATCCTCGGCAGGAGATGCCGGTGGCTGTTTTCCCACAAAGCCGAGGTTCCCTGCGCACCACCATCCAAGCAAGTCCCCAGTGGGTGTGAAATCCACACAGAATTGTGGGCCATTAGACAGTTTTATTTCTGCCCCATAAAAATCCTTCAAAACCTGTGGGAGTTTTAACGAGCCAGCGCTCATCCATCCAATCCTTCCCAGCCGAGGGGCCCTGGAGATGCAGGGCAGGACAATTAGAGATGTTGTCACATGCTGCCTGCTTCATTATCTGTGAGTGATGGGCAGTTCAGAGCCTGACCTCCCTCCAGACTGCATCTGTGGGTCTGGTGTGTGTGTGTGTGCACGTGCGTGTGTGTGTGTGTGTGTGAGAGAGAGAGAGAGAGACGGGGGGGGAGGGATATGTAAATGATGTATAGGCATATAAAAATTCAAGACCAAAACATACATCTCACGTATGGAAGTTTACTTTGCCCTCCATCCCCGGAACTGCCCTCGGATGCCTCCTCTCCTGCCTCCGCGTTTCCTCATAGACCTTGAATGGTCTGAGGTCGGCTGACCTCAAGACGCCGTGCACCCTGTGTGTGAACATGAAGATGGAGGTGAACACGGAGGTGAACATGAACACGGAGGTGAACGTGAACACAATGGTGAACACAAATGTGAATGTGAACTCGGCTTCAGAATCCCTCTCGGCCTCCTGGCCTCTCCCTCCTCGGCTGTCCTAGTGCCTTCTCTATCTCCAAATGAGGGTCCATCGACCCGTAGACGCTTCTCCTTTTCTCTCACTTACCTCTGATGTGGTGCACTCCTCCCGGAGACCACTGGCACCCAGAGCCCTGCCCGCTGCAGTCTCGGCGCCATCCTGCAGTCTTCTTTGGCACAGCCACTCGCCACCTGAGGATGGGGAGCTGCCCTGGGGCTCACGAGGACCGAGTTGGGGAGAGGCCGGACAGGAAGGAGGGAGAGCACAGAGCAGACTCTGTGAAAGGGCGCTGAGTGGCTCATTTGCATGTACTTGTGTGCCCGTGGGTGCCTCTGTGAACTTGTGCACCTGTGTTGGACAGAGGGGTAGTTGAAACAGCACAGGTTCATGTGGGTGGGTACACAGGAAGGAGAGCCCTTCTGTAAACCATATTCCTGTCTTCTCCTGGGAGAGCTGGTGTCCCGTGCCTCCACTGTGAACAGCAGTCCCATTTTAAAGTAATCTGAGCAGAGGGGTGCTACTGTTTCTCACTCACCCTTCAGGGCTCCTGCACAGGCTGCTGAGGTTGTACCAGGGAAGGGCCACGAGCCCCTGCTGCTGTGGAGCGAGGCCAGAGGAGGCCCAGGGCTCATCAGATGGCCATGCCGCACACGTCACGCAGAGGCAGACTCTTCACCACATGAGTTGGCACCTCCCAGAGCAGGGCTGGGCCACTCTGTCTTCCTCTCGGCCGCCTGTGGGGTTCTGGCTGGAACAGCACCGCTCTGCTTCCCATGGGGCAGAACTGGGATTTGAACTAGGGCTGTGCCCTTGCTAGGCAGTGCTCGCCTGCTGAACCACGTCTCCAGCCCCTTCTGGGGCATTGGATACTTTTTTGAGATACGGTCCCTCTTTTTCCCTGGACTATAGCTGGCCCCAAAGCCCAGTATCCCAGCTGGTGGAAGGGCAGGCCCCAGCCCCCATGGCTGTGGTCTGAGATGGGTCCTCATTAAATTTTTGCTAAGAGGAGCCTCGAACCTTGATCCTCCTGGTCTGAGCCTCCCAAATAGTGAGAATCATGGGCCTGAGCCATGGCACCAAGCTTCCCTTTCTCTTCAAATGAGTGGAAGTGCACATATTCTCTTTCCCTGAGGCTTTTGGTGGAGGGGCCACGTATACGATGCAGATCCAACCCACGTATACGATGCGAACCTGCAACCTGAGCGGTCACAGAGTCCAGGGAGGTTTGTGGGCACGGGGCATTCACACCTGTTCTGCCTGTGATGAGCACCACACCAGTCCCGCGTAGCTGGTAGAGCTTGGCGGGGACGGCGAGCGACAGCGGGGCTGCCATTCGTGCTAGCAGAGGTGGTGTCTGCATCCTTCCTTGAGGGTCTGATCCGGCGTGGGGTGGAGCACAGGGCCCAGGTATGCGCTCAGGCATCTGCCTTCTCTCCTAGGAGCCCTGGAGCATGCAGCATATCCCTGCGCTCTTCTCAGCCTTCTGCGGGCTCCTGGTCGCTCTGTCCTTCCACCTGAGCCGGCAGAGCAGCGACCCGTCAGTGCTCCTGTAAGTAGCCGCTGCTCCCTCCTGCCGGGGTTCTGGGGGCCGCTTCCATGCTCTGGGATGGGCGGCCGCCTCCAGGGCTCATCTCCCTTCCGCGGGTGCTGGAGAAGAAGCGGACAGCCCATGTGGGCACAGGCTGCGGGGAGCAGGGGAGGTGAAGGGTGAAGGTACAGACCCTTCCCCTGAACCCCTGCAGCCGGAGTGAGATGGCCGGTGACACCTGAGTCTGTCCTGCAGCCTTCCCTTGTCCACAGCGGGGGCGTCTTCTCTGGGCGCACCGAGCCCGGGGCTGCCTGGTTCTAGGAATCACCCCGGCAGCCCAGGCCAGCACCCGAAAAGGAGGCTTACGCTGAGTCCCACTGCCTTCTGTTCCCACTGAGGCCAGCACCCATCTACTTCAGGAGTTCTGTGTCCGAGGTTTTGAATGTGTCTGATCTCCAGCCACTTGGAGGCAGATGCGTTTGGGCACCGGGAATCCCCACTGTGGCCGCGGAGTGCACTCCCGCCCTGCAGGGCCACCCAGGCTCTGACTGGACATCCCGCCCTGGGGCTGGCTGGGCGCTGTTAGGCGCACAAAGGTGAAGCCCTGGGCAAATGAAAAGCAATGCCAGACACCTCCATTAGTGTCTGCTGCCTGGGAGGCTGGTGTGCCCAGGGTGAGTGGCGGATGTCTGGAAGGAAGGCTGTTTTGCGCGATTCTTAGTGTCAGACACAAAGAGAGCAGAAAGAGAGTGGGTGAGCCGCCTTCTGCCGGCACCAGAGGAGGCCGGAGCTCAGAGGCCTGGCAGGAAGGGAGGAGACCTGGAGCTCTGCTGTGGGCACTGGCACCCCAAGCAACACTCAGACTCCTCGCCTCCAAGAGCACGAGGCGCACACATGACTGATTTTGCACCTGCTGTGTGATGGAGGGAGGAAGAGCCCAGGGCGGCAGCCCCACTGTGCTGAGGCAGCCTTGGCTCCATGGAGTGAAGCCTGGGTTTTCTTCCTTTAGGTCCTTCATCCAGTGCAACATGTTTCCCAAATATTTACAACAAAACCTAGAGGAGTCGGCCGCAGACCCCCTCCCGCAGAAGATGAAGGATTCCGTGGTAAGATGCTTGAGTCCCGTGGTCTGTGGTGGGACTGGCTGGGGGCAGGGCTGGCCCAGGACCTCGGGGCTCTTGCTAGCCCAGACCGTGAGGAGGGGCGGGGGGCCCCGGGGCCCAACTCCAACCCGGCTCTTGGGGACTGTGAGCTGCCTGTCCCCTGAGGACCGTGGTGCGAGCGGGCCAGTCACTGGTGCTGCCCAGGGGTCCCAGGCACCAGTTGGTCCTGTAAGCCACATTCGTTAATTCTGTGGGTTGATGGCTGGCACCGACAGCAGGCAGGCCCTGAGCAAGCAAAAGCTCGTCCCATAGCACAGGAATGCCAGCTGCTCTTCTGATGTGCTCAGCCTCTTCTGCCTCAGCCTCCCGGCTCAGAGCTCTCTCCAAGGTCTCCTGAGGGGTCCCAGACATCTGTTCAGTCCTGGCCCTGGCCCTTGGGTTTGGTGGGTGAAAGGGGAGGGAAGGAAGGAAGAAAGGACAGAAGGAAGGAAGGAAGGGACTCTGAGGCCTCTTGTGCACCAGGTCCCAGCTCTGGCAGCCTCAAGGGTCCTCGGAGCAGACGGGCCTTCCTGCCCGGACTCAGGTTAACACTGTGGAGAGCGATGGCTGTGAGTGTTCCAGGCTCCTGTGCGCAGGAGCAAAGGGATCGCGGCTGCTGACGGCTTCCGTTCATGCTTTCCTGTGCTTTGTGAGTGGCGGGAGGGTGGCTGCTGGCTGGCATTGATGGTTTCCACGGCAGGAATTCTCTCGGGTTTCTTGGGGAACCCCCCCTTCCAGGGTGAGCCCCTAGGCAGCACACAGGACCTCTAGTTCGCAGGACCATGGTTTTAAAATGGCTCTGTCAGCTGCCTTCCAGTGTTGCTCTGCTCCCACAAAAGCATTCAGGCTTTCAGGCTTTCTTTCTTGTCACCACAAGGCCATCAAGAGACTGGTCACTGGATATGACTTTATCAGCAGAGAGACATTTAAAATCAGGACCGAGGATGCTCGTGGGGCATGGTATGGAAGCTAGACCAGGTAGAGATCAACTCATGTGCAGCTGGGGCCCTGGCATTCGTCCCAGGAGACCCACGGGGCCGGTCGGGCTGTCCCTCCCCATCCATCTTCCAAACACCATAGCATGGGCCCCCAAAGTCCCCATCATGGATATCTGAGAAAACTTACGGCCACTAAGTCTTCCTTGATCTCATGACTGGTGAAGATGCCTCTCTATTTTCTGGTTTATTTGATGTAAAAGTAAGGATTGAATTACAGAGAAACGTGGAATTAACCACTAGAAGCTGGTAGTGTTTCACTGGGGTAATTGGATGGGCTGATCAACGGTGTCCTTAGTTTTTCTCACCTTTGAAACGCCATGTTCACCAGCCTAACTCAGTGGGCATGTTCACTCCTCCTCCTCGAGAGAGAGGCCCGGGTAGTTAGCGTGTTTTATTGAGAGGATCAGGTTGGTTTGACATGTTAGTGTGCAGCACACATGTGCGCTGTGCAACCACGAAGTCGCTCTCCTTGTCTCTGCGGCTTCTCCATCTCTGCCCCTCCTATGTTCTCTGGTTGTCTTTTCTCTCTCTTCCTACATTTTGCTGCATGTGGACAGGGGCTCGGCCCTTTTACCCAGTGCCCCCCACTGGGTGTCTGGCCAGCTCTCCACAGACTACAGCCAACAAACCTGAGAGCTACCTCCACCCTGCCCCTGCAGGGCAGGGCACCCCACGCACCCGGAGCCCATTGGCAAAACTTGACAGAGAATAAACGGGTTTGCCTGGCAGACCCCACCCCCACCCCCAGTACTATTTTGTTTGCTTGCTTATTTTGTTTTCACCTTTAAATCTTTAAGTACAAAGGGGTTTTAATTGGTCACATCATCTGATGACTACAAGCTTGCTTATCAGCCTTACCCTCCATGGGGCTTCTGAACTCAGGGTAGCAAGTGCTCCATCACCTGAGCCACATACCCAGCCCTGTCTGATTCCGCTGGTTTTTATGTTGGGTCTTGGCCTCCAGCTGTGACCTTCCCATGTGGCCGGTGGCCCAGTGATGCAGGTGGCAGAGCCGGTGGCTGGCTTTCCACAGGCCTCGTGAGGCTCCTCCTCTGGCACCTGCCCACCACTGTCCTTGGCATGTTCAGACTTGTTTCTTCTCTCTAGGGACCATCCTTGGTTGTTGTTCTTGTTGTGTTTTCTTTGCCAGTTTCTGAGTTTGAATGTAGGGCCTCACTCCCACGTGGCTAGATAACTTGCTGGCACTCTACCATTTGAGCTACGCATGTTTCCAGCTTAGCTTTTTTGCTGGTTATTTTTTGGAGATAGAGTCTGACAGGCTGTTCTGCCTGGCTGGCTTCAAACTTTTCAGCCTCCCAAGTAGCTGGGATTATAGGTATGAGCCACCTGCACTGGCTTGAAGTCTTCATTTTTATGTGTAAAACTCAACAATGAGCAGAGACTCGCGTAAAATGAGTTACAGCAGAAGGGGCTTCCTGGTAAACGCTGACCCACAGGCCAGGCCTGACTGGACAGGAAGCCCCCGACTGGACAGGAAGCCCAACTCATAAAACACCAGGTCCTTTAAAATAGAGCTGTAGGTTTAACATAGTTCACAACACTTCCAAAGGAATTAGATTCACAGCTTTGGCAAATGATTCTAGGGTTTATGTAGAAGAACAGCGGCTAGAAGTTTTAAAAGAACTTGAACAAGAAGGATAAGGAAAAAAGGCACTTGGTGCTTTGAGATTTGAGCATCTTACAAAGACTAAATCCTGAGAACAAAGTGTGAGACCTGCGCAAGATTAGGGGATGGGATTAGTGGATCAGAGGAACGGAGAAAAGAGACGCGTCATTTACGTGAATGTCTTATGTGAAAATTAAATGTCACAACCAAGGTTTGATTGTTCGGAGTGTGGGGTTTAAAGGCAGAGGGGGAAAATAAAGAACCTGGTGCGCTAAGCCCTCTGCAGACACCCATGGGTACCATCCAGGAGTGAGCTGGGGAGGGTGGGAGGGAGGGGGTTGCACGTGTGGTGGGAACTTTCCACTCTGCAGAGGAAGAGCTATGTTCTGAATAAAGGACCCCAGAAATCCTTCATAAACAAAACAACAAAATGCCCAAAGGCCAGAGAGCTGTTGGGTGGGAGTTTGATCAACAGAGGACCTAGAGAAGCAGAGCAGATGCCCCTGCCCAGGGTGCCCGGGTGGGGGGGGGAGGAGGAAGGGCAAGGCGTGTGCTCTTTGCCCTCACGCTCAGGGCAGCCTGCCTGGGCATGACCAATGGACCACCCACCATCGGCCCTGCCACCCTCCCGGCCACAGTGTGCAACACAATTCACCTCCACACAGACAGGCATGGGGAGAAGCCTGGGCAGGCTGTTCCTGCCCGTGTGTTTCTACCACAACTTGGCAAAAGTGGATGGATGAGGAGCCCCATAGCAGGAGATTAAAGTGGTCCCCGCCTGGCGCACCCAGGGCAAACATGCGAGGGTCTCCTCTAGACACCCCTGAAACAATTTTCCAAGAGAGAAGGAATGAAAAGCTGCTCAAAGAGACGATTTGCCAGCAGCGGGAGGTCTGCAAGCACTGTAACACCTATGGACAACAGAGAAATTAAAAGCCACCCGGCGAGAGAGACCCTGCGGGGCTCCTGAGGGCCCAAACAAATGAGGGAACTGAAGTTTAAAAAAAAACAATGACCAAAGACCCCTGTCCCAGCCGCACGGGGAACTAGACATTCTGAAGAGGGGAGCGGGAGCTATGGGTGAGCAGAAGAATGTTTCCACAAGGCCAAGAGTGGGAAAACATGAACTAGACACGAAGAGATACAGGGACAGAGGGAGACCTGAAACATGTCAGGACTCCAGGAGATGGCAGGGCTGAGAGGGGAGGGCACGGAGGGGTGAAAGGGGGAGGGGGAGGGGGCAGGAACAGAGAGGGAGGGGGACCATCCTTGGAGCAGGTTCACCCAGCCGGTGTGAGAACTGGCAGGGGAGGTGACCCAACTTCTCTCCTTCCAGAGGGGCGTCCTGAGGTCAGATCTGCTCATCTGCTCCGTGGCCGCTGTCCTCTCCTTCGCAGTCAGCGCGAGCACCGTGTTCCTGTCCTTACGTGTAGGTGGCCACGCCCGCTCACCGACAGGAGGGTGCGGGGTGAAGCCAGGGTGAACGCAGGGTACAGGCTGAGGAGCCAGGGTGGAGCTGCAGTGGAGGGGCCACACCGTCAGGGGCCTGAGACCAGCTGAGGGCTGACCCCCATTCTCTTTTGGTGGTGCTGGGGTTGGCACTTACGGCCTCATGCTTGCTAGGCAAGTGCTCTACCGCTTGAGCCATGCTCTGCGCTCTATGGCTAGCTTCTAAAAGAAGGGGCAATGCCACGTGTATCCCTTGGGGCACCCCTCCTCTGCCTCCCAGCCTCCTCCCCCTCCCCCCTCCCCAGCCTCCCCTTCCTGGCTTGGACTCCCACCTCTGGTGTGTAATGAGGTCCCTATTTCCCCGCAGCCATTCCTCAGCGTGGTGCTGTTTGCCCTGGCGGGCATCGTGGGACTCATCACCCACCACCTGCTGCCCCAGCTCCGCAAGCACCACCCCTGGCTGTGGGTGTCGCACCCCATCCTGAGGAGCAGGGAGCACCGGCCGCAGGAGCCCACAGGTCAGTGCTGCCGTCGCGGAGGAGGGCTCAGGGTGCGCTCCGCCGTGGCCACAGGTCCTGAGTGCCGTCCTCCCACAATAGAGAAAGGCGCACGTATGCCTTGGAGTCCAGAATATTCTTCCAGACACACTCACCAGCCAGAATAAGAGAGCTCCAGTGTGGCCAGCTAGATGTACTGTTGGTTAAAATATCCATTGGTCATGGGTGTGGCCAGAACTTTAAAGGAGGTGATGTTCCTTGAGCTTGGAGCCCACGCTTCCGGCCGGGGTTAAAGAGCACCGTGCCCTGACCAGGCAGAAGGTGGCCTGGCGCGGGCCATGGAGCCCATTGGAGATGGGCAGCCCGGGGAAACCTGCTCGGAAACCTGGATGGTAGGTGAGGAAAGGGTCCTGGCCACAGCCTCATAGGTTGGGCATGGAGCCTGCCATGCCAGTGAGAGCCCGGCCCAAGTGTAGGCCACAGGCTGCTGCCCTAGTGCTGCACAAGTTCAGGGGCTCCTCATGTGGGGTTCTCAGCATTACACCCCGGCAGGACGCCAGGCTCTGTGAAGCAGTGGCTGGGGAGGGGCTCTGCAGGGACTCAGGCTCCGGATGATTCTGTGCCAAAATTCCCCCTGCCCGATGTAATTCTTTGAGAAGACTGAGTTCTGTGGGAGTCGTGGAATGTTGGGGAGTTACCACAGAGGTTTACTTGGGGAGGAGGGACTATTGTTTTGAGGTCCTTGGTGAATCGTTGGTAGAGGTTTGAGGTAAGAAGCTTGAACTCTGAGAACAGGAGTCCACCATTGGTGTCTTTATCCAAATGTGTATCTGCTCCTAGAACTGAAGGAGGCCTGTGTCTGCACCCAGAGTTCCCCTGTACCTGCCCCTCTGCCCTTGGTGCGCCAGGACCCGTGTTGGTGTCTGCCCATCTCTCCTGCAGCTGTCCTGCACCTGCACTGTGCCTCTGCCTCCATCCTGCCCAAGACCCGGCCCAGTCCTTCCCCACCGGGGGCTCTTCCCCCGAAACCTACCAGAGCCCAGTTTATTTTTTTTATTTTTTTATTTTTTTGGGTCCGGTCGTGGGGCCTGAACTCTGGGCCTGGGCGCTGTCCCTCAGCTCTTCAGCTCAAGGCTAGCGCTCTACCACTTGAGCCACAGTGCCACTTCCGGCTTTTTTTCTTTTTGCTTATGTGGTGCTGAGGAATCGAACCCAGGGCCTCATGCATGCAAGGCAAGCGCTCTACCACTGAGCCACCTTCCCAGCCCCCCCAGTTTAAATGGAAATCATCTCACTACTCCAGGCCTGCTTGGTCTTTTCAACGCAAGTAGGTGTGTTTGTGCTACTGAGCATTTTGTTGCGTAGGTCTGTTATTTGTTTAAAACAAGATTCACACTGAGAAGATGGGAGGCAGGAGGACAGCCCTGCTGGACAGGATTCACGCTGAGGAGGTGGGGGGCTGGCCATGATGGACAGGTGTGTGTGTGTGGTTTCCAGACTAAAAGCTGGGATGTGGGGTTCTTTGACAGTGAGGCAGCTGTGTGTGCCTGAGCTCTGAGGACCCTAGACCCACATGCACTTCCTCAGCTGACCCCTGCTGCAAATGAGCAAAAAGAACAGGTTACCAGATGTGTTTTACCTGCGACAAGCTCCATCTCAAAGGCCGGGCCTTGTCTGTCACAGCAAGTGAGGAGGTTGGATTGCGTTTTCCCATGGATCCTCGGGGTTTCATAATAACTGACTTCCGGAAATTTGGGGGAAATGAAGTGATCTGCTCTTACTGAAACAGCGTCTCTTGGTGGAGTCACCAAGAGACAAAGAGCAAGTATGTTTTTGTAGTTTACTCATTTACTTCTTTTCGCACTCCAACGATGCTGATGAATATGCTTTCCATTCATCCAAAAATAATTACTGAGTTGGGTGTGGTGGCTCAGGCTGGAGGCTGAACACAGGAGGCTTACAGCTTGAGGCCACTCTCCACCACTAGTTGTTAAGCATGATGGCGCATGTCTGGCATCCTAACCACAGGAGATGCATAAGCAGGAAGATGCAGCCACAGCCAACCTGAGCACAACTGCAAAACCCTCTCAGGATCAAGCAAAGCCAAAACAAAAGGAGTAGAGTTCTGGCCTAGCAAGAATGAAGCCCCGAGTTTGGTCCCCCATTACAGTTCAAACCCCACAACTAATGACTGAGTTCCGAAGGGTCACCTGGTCCCAGCCTGGGTGACCAGGAGATGAGGACTGAGATGTGGATGCAGCAGATAAATGGGGAGCCGGGGAGCCGGGGAGCCCAGCACCTGGATGTGGGGTGTAGCCTGCACTCTACCCACAGGGTAGAGAGGCCGGAGGCCCCGGAGAGAAGCTCACAGCCAACCCCATCCTCTTGCTTGTGTATGGCAGCTGGATTCGAGTAATTTAGCGCGGAGTTAATATCCAGTGCTCAGTAAATGTCACCCAAATGGACAGACGTGTGCTCAGTGGGCACACAGTCTGTGGAGAGTGCTCAGCAGCTTGCTGCTTGCCAAAAGGTTTATGCCCTAATTTTATGGTGCGCTGGAAATAATGAATAAAGGATCATATAAATTATAAAATGCATCCACCGAAGCTCTCATTTAAATGGTAATTTAAAAAAAATTACCAGTTCACTAATGAGTCCCAAATTTGTAATTCTGCAATGAGATTTACTTTGTAGCATCGCCAACCTCTGTGCGTTTGCAGATGACTGACTAACTGCTGTGTGGAGTAGAAACTGCTCTCCTCCCTATCCCAAGCATCTCTCATCTACATCAAGGGAAGGTTTACTGTGAGGAAAGCTAAAGCCCCTGTTAGCCAAGCCCAGCCCCTCCTTCCTCCCTCCTCTGAGTCTTCTCTTGGGGATGATGGGGTGGGGGGAGGATCTCTACGATTAGTTCTGACTTTGGATAATTCTTCCAAATAACCATCCTGTGCATTCCTTCCAGCTCCCTGCAGGACAGAGGGACTCCTCTCCCTCCTTTCCCTGTGTGCTCACGAGCCTTTCACTCTTCCTTCCAGTACAGTTTTATTTTTGGTTGTTGTTTGGTTGCTTTTGTGCTGGTCTTGAACTCAGGGCCCGGGTGCTGAGCCTGAGCTTTTTTGCTCACTCTACCACCTGAACCATATCTCCACTTCAGCTTTTTGTTGACTAATTGGAGATAAGAAGAGTCTCATGGACTTTCCTGCCTGGGCTGGCTTTGAACTGTGATCCTCAGATCCCAACCTCCTGGGTAGACAGGATGACAGGTGTGAGCAATTGCCTGTGTGTCTCCTCTGGGCCCCCCCCCCCACCTCCCGCCCTTCCCTCTCCCAGCAATATGAAGAACCTTCTATTCCTAAAAAATGAAAAACAAAATCTGAGGAGTCATTTGGGGAGGTAGACTGCTGTTTAAAAAATGTGTCAAATGAAAATTTAAAAAGGTTTAAAAAAAAAGGGAAAGAAGAAAGAAAAAAAGCCACCTGGGCCGCCTGCAATTGAACGCTGGCAGAGTAACCTCACCTTGGTCCAGGGGAGGAGAATGGAACTCCGTGTGACCCAGAGTGGCAGCCTGCGCCACTGGCACATGGGGGCTCTGTAGCGCTCGCCCCCATCGCCCACTGCTTTTGAGAAGTTCACCAAATGTGGCTATTCAGGGGAGGAGAGGCACAGTCAGGGCCGCTGGTTGTGTCTCAGGCACCAGTCAGGGCCCAGAAGCAGGGCTCACACTCAGGCTGCTGGTTTGGGAAATGAGGCCTCTTTGCAGGGAACAAACAAGAGCAGGTACCAAGTTAAAGGAAGGAGCTCCACACCCCAGCCCCGGCCCCAAGGGCACAGACGGGGCGTGCCAACGACTGGGAGAGTTCATTCCACCCAGCAGCAGGCACTCAGCAGCTGAGAGGGCCCGAGTGATGCCCACTTGAAATGAGCCACCGCCTTGTGAAGCAGGAAACTCTCCCCTTGAATCTTGAATTGGAGTTCTTCTTCCTTAAGCAAAAATCATCCTAAGGAGCTTTTTTAAATCATCGAGAAAGACCTATTTTAGTCGCATAAGCATCTAAATGAAATACGACTGAAAACTCTTCTTTCAGCAGAGCCAGAGCCTCCGATCATCAGGACGCGTCTATAAACTTGCAAATGGCATTGTTACTTTGCATTCTGGGGCTCAAGGGCCTCATTTTCCTGGGAAGCAGAGATAACAATGCCTTTTTATGGTGTCTATGCACTATCAGGATAGGTTCTGTCTTTAACTTTCATGGGCGTGGGCGCAGGGACACTTCGGGGACCTAGAAAGCGGATCTTTTATGTGTTATTGCTTCTATAAGCACTCTTTTGATGAGCCTCCCAAAGCTGTCCCAAAAGAAAGGATTAAGTGTGATCTTCATGAGCTCACAACTCCAGACATACGCTTCTGTCTCAGCTTCTTTCTACTCCTTGGTTTTCAGTTCTTCTCGGTTCCTTTACCTGGAGACCAAAGGGTTTCACTGGAATAAGTTCCTGAGGTCGGTAGAAGAAAACTAAGATACATAAGAATCCTGCCTGACCCCTACTTCAGTGGGTCGCATGAGAGGCCCATCCCTCCTGACGTCTGGCATAGACTGTGGGTGCTTGTTGCTGAGTACACGTGAGGCCTGGCCTGCTGCCACCTTTACGCCGTCCACTCAGGCGTTCTGCACCCATGAGGGTGACACCGGGCCGTCTACTCCACATCTAGATGTCAGTCCCGGCAACTTTATTTCCTTCCCTCGTAGCTTCCTGCTGATGAGTGTGCTTCAGACTGGGTCTTGCTCAGTCTGTGTGAGTGGTGGAGGGTGCTCAAGGTTTTACTTATTTTTGTTGTACTGGGGATCGAGCCAGGGCCTCATGGAAATACTCTACCACTCTGATCTACAGCTCCAGCCTTGCCTCTCTGTTTGCCTCTCTGTTGTGTTTTGCATCACTGCCTTGGCTTAAGCTGACTCAAACTTGTCATCCTCCAGTCTCTGCTGGATCCTAGATCCCACGTATCTGGGATTACAGATGTGCATCACGGTGCTCACTCACATGACCCTACGGGTTCTACCAATGACTCGAGGTAGTAAAGTAACTTAGGAATGAACGGCTGGTTTTAGCTCTGTAGTTCTATTTTCCTCGAGATGTCTGGTGCTGAGCCACTTAGACGGTCTCCCTGCTTTGCTTCTGTTGGAAACCAGAGATGACCTCTGCTGTCCTCTGTCTAAGTGGTCCTGCGATGTCAGACACAGCCCCTCCACACTCTGCTACATGGCCAGGAAACGTGGTTCCGTTCTTCTCAGGCTGATGCCCAGGGCTTCAGACATCACAGCCAGCTCCAGGCCGGGCAAGGGCAGCCCTCAATCTCCGGAGCACACACACAGAGTCTCAGGATTGAAGGCTCAGGGAATGGAGCATGGTGCCGTGGGGCATCTGTAGAGCCAGCGGCATGGTGCGTGGCAGGTGGCGGGGCTGCTGGAGGGCTCAGAGCTGGCTGTTGCTCCCATTCCCACTGATTCTCGTTGCTTTGTGTCTCTGGGGTGAAGCTGGCTCTGTGGACACCATGGGGTCTGCGCCCTCCACCCATGGCTCATCTCCACCTGCTGGGGAACCTCAAGCTCCTACAGGGCAAGTGACCAGCGTGTGAAAACCCAGCTGGGCTCCCAGCCCGATGCTGTGCTGCCTCTCACCGCGTCATGTCTATGGGTTGTTCCCCGTGGGTGTTTTAGCAGCGCAGTGGAGGAGAAGGAGGAGTCTCTCTTCTGTGTATGTTTTGTTTGCTTTGATGGGGATCTCGCCAGGGTTGAATTCTTCCTCTGAAGGCTGGGGTTGTGTGCTCTTCCTCTGAGGGGCCAGGAGTGCTGGAGCCCAGCCAGGCCCCCTGTGGTGCTCTCATCTGACTGGTGAGCTTAGAAACTGAGAGCAGCAGGAGATGACTTCACACAGAAACCCAGCTGTGCCCAGCGTGCCTCACAAGATGTGAAATAGGAGACAGGGAGCTTTGTCATTGAAAATCAGTTATGCGGGACTCTCCTGCACCGCCCCGTTCATCCTCACTGAGTTTAACCATCCAGAGCTTTCCCAACTGCTAACAATCGTAAGGCCACAGATACCTTGTGCTGCCCCTGCCTTCATGCCCGGAGAGCATTCCGCTGGGATGGCCGGGGCTCCCTGGAAACACTAAACCAGGAAAGACTGAAGGCAAGTTCATATTTAGATGAACAGCTATTCTGCTCAGTGCCATCACAGGTCCTAAAGCCAAAGGCTTAGCCTTGCAGGTTGATGTTTCCAAGACATAATGTAGTTTTCCCTGTCATGGGGCAGGGTGTGTGTGTGGGGGGGGGTGTAGTGTGTTCAAGACCTGGCAGAGTGTGCACACCCCGACCTGCACAGGGTGGAGCGGCTGGCGGGGCCCGCCTGGGTGTGCAGTGCTTACGGACAAGCACAGAGCCATTGGCACTTGCTCCTCTGCGCCTTCATCAGGTGCTGTCCATTCCAGGGAGGGTGGTGTCAACCCGTGCCAGTCCAGAGCCTCCGGCACAGCTCTGGGAAGGGGGGTGCCGACCTGTGCTCCCAGTGTGTTGGCTCCTGGGATCCTGTGTGCCCAGCAGCCACTGGCAGCCGCTCTCTTGTGTCAGGGCAGAGCACACCTGTCCTCTCAGCTACATGGGAAGTACAAATAGGAGGATCACGGTCCAGGAAGGGTTTGGCAAAAGCATGAGACTCTATTCAGAAATAATGAAAGCAAAAAGGGGTCAGGGCATGGCCAAGTGGTAGTGTGCCTGCCTGCCAAGTACAAGGCCCCAAGTTCAAGACCTGATTCATCCAAAGAAACAGACAAAAAGCTTCAGGCTCACCATCTACAATAATGTTTCCTCAGCCTTGCCCCTTACCTGTGCTTTCAGCTCTGCATGGGAAGAGCTGATTTTGGCTGACTCCGTGGCATGGTACATGCACGGTTGAATTGATACACAACCATTGAATACGACCAAGAATGTATGAGGCAGAAGTTCGGTGCCAGTGGCTCACACCTACACCTCAGCTGCTCAGAAGGCTGAGATCCAGAGATTCACAGATCAAAGGCCATCCCACAAAGAGTTCTATGAAACTCTGTCTCCAAAATAACCAGAACAAAGCTGGGCCAGAGACCTGTCTTATGCCGTAGAGCACCAACCCAGCAAGCATAAACCCCATTGCTTCCATAAGAAGGAAGAGGGGGGAAGGAGGAAGGAGGAGGAGGAGGTCTGCAAAGGCTCACGGCCGTGTTTTCAGCATGTTGTATGTGCAGGGCCTGAGATGAGCTCTGGGGGAGGATTTATGTCTAGAGTCAGGAGAGCCGAGAAGGAGCTCACGGCAGCATGCATAACTTCAGGGTTGCAGAGGAAACCACAGGAAATGAAAAAAATAATGAAGAAGATAAAGGACAATCCCACAGGCCAAGGATGGAGATGAGAAATCTGCAGAGAAAATGGAAGAAGTGAGTGGGAAGGACTTGAGGCTGGGCAGTATCTGGCAGATGGGCCAGCGGAGAGCGGAGCAGCTCCGAGGGCCTGGATTATTCTGGGCCTCAGAACGGTGCCCCAGGTAGACTGGGGCAGGGCAGTTACTTGGCCTGACCATGTGTCCTGGGCAGGAATAGCCACAGAAGCTCAGGAGCAGAGGTCGGGCAGTACCTAGGAGACACACAAAGGGAGCTGTCCACTCTCACGAAGCTGTCCAAAGTGGGACGTGAGCTCTGTGAGGAGAGGTAGGAGGAAGAGGTGTGCTTCACCTGCTCCACACAGGACAGACTGAACGGAGCCAGTGGGCAGAGAGTGAGCACTGGGTCAAGGTGGCAGAGTGCTTGGGAGCACAAAGTGGCTGCAGGTGATTTTGTAATCAGGGCTAAAGTCATTTCCTTGGAAGGAGTGGAGGAATCTTGAAGATTTGATTTCTTAGTTTTCATGTACTTCCATAAAAGGTTATAGCTAGTCTGTCTGTAAAACATGTAACACTCCTTGACTTCATTCATTATATATATAAACTCATTCATTATGGAATAGCACATTTCCAGACCTGCCCTAGGAGACATTGCGCACTGTCTATTAAGAAAATCCAAGGAGAATTCCTGCCCACCTCCAAGATACCCCAGGCAGCACCCCCTGACCTCCTGTGGCCTGAAAGCTCTTCCACATAGCCTCCGTGTGTGTGACTCCCTTGTGCTCATGAGTTCTTCTCAAGTAAGGTTTTCCAGGGTAGATTCTGAGTTATAAAGATAATACATTCTTATTTGAAAAATAAGTCAAAGAAGAAACACCAGCTTCCAGTTTAATATGAGTACGCGCCTGTGTGCACTTGTTACTTCCTGCAGTCTGGTACCTGAAATCCCCAGGAGCAGGTGGCTTATCTCTCATCCCAGGTGAGAGACAGGGAGGAGACAGCCCGTGACACAGAGTGACAGCTTCTCCCATGGAGTTCTTCTGTTACACCCCAAGCCAAAGGTATGGAGAGCTATGTGAAAGCCACATAATTCTCTCTCTCTCTGTATGTATGCCTATGTTTACATATACACATATGCAGACACACAATACATATATATATACATACATACATGTACATATATACACATAGATACATACACACATGCATAATGATAGATAGATAGATAGATAGATAGATAGATAGATAGATAGATAGATAGATAGATAGATAGATAGAGCTGTGAACTTTTGGGAGATGACTGATAGTTGGATCTAGGGATACAATTTTCTCTTTTTGATTCTGGAAGGGAGGTGGGTCGCCACTGACCTTGGCACACGTGGGCTCTGTCTCCTGTGGAGAAGGCCGAGCCACACAGACGGGACAGTGGGCCTGCCTGTGCTCCCTTCCCTGAGGCAGAGGCAGAGGACCCCAGAGCAGAGTCAGGGAGGGCGTGGGCCACGGTCTGTGCTGTGAGCAGTCCCACCAGCCCCCTCCCTGCCTGGAGGGACAAGCTAGCCCGTGCGAGCGAGGTGGGGACTGTGTGCACTGCCTACTTTACCATCGTCCACCCTGGGCACAGGACTGGGGCCGTTTCTCTTGGTAGAAGCCTCACAGGACAGCTCAGAAAGACAAGTCAGAAGTTCAGGATCCCCCTGAATGCCACGCAGCCTGGGCTGGCTGTGAACTCTGGTCCTTCGTGGGAGCAGAAGCTCCCGGGGGACCTCGAGTCCTCTTGCTGCTCTGAGGGCTCAGACAGGTGTCACAGGTTTTAGTGATGAGTGTTTGGGGACCAGCCTTTTCTGTTTGTGTGCATTGTCCCAGGCTGCGGTTGAATCTAAGGAGGGAAAAGAGACAGAAAAGAAGCCAGCCCCAGCCTCGGCCATCACCGTGAGCCGAAAAGTAGCCACTGGACTCTCTTCCTGTTCTCTGTCCTTGCTCTCCTCCCTCTCCACTGCAATTGATGGCTGCTGTGATGTCGTGATGGTGCAGGGCGGCTCGTGTCATTTTATCTGAGATCACTTGACTGAAAACTAGGGCACTGGTTTGTGTCACTGTGTGACAGCATAGGAGCAAATCCATGGTCTGGCGGGTGTCAGTCTGGAGTCTGGGGTTCTCCCCCCACCGCCCCGCCCTGCAGCTTGGATGGGGGGCAATGTCTTTATTGTTGTCTCTACTCAAGGAAAAGAGCCTCGTCAGAGACGGTTCTGCCTGGATGTTTGTTTCTTTCAGAGGTAACCCGTTTGATGTGGTTTGAGAGACTCTACGTCTGGCTTCAGTGTTTTGAGAAGTACATCTTATATCCAGCAATAACTCTGAACGGCCTCACCCTCAACGCCTTCTCCATAAGCAATCACCGGAGACTCGGCACCCAGTAAGTGGACCCGTGGCTCTTTTTCCTATCGATTCGCACTATAATATATTCTCTCCGCAGGCTGCAAAAGAAATCAACCCACCTCCAGTCACCTTAGGGTGGCAGAGCCAGGCTCTATGGTTTCTGTCTGGAGGCGGTGACAGCAGATTATAGGGAGACTGGGTGTGGAGGAAGTGCATGAGTACCAATCAGAAGATCTGGAAACGCTGGTGCTGGAATACAGCCGCCAGCCCCACGGCCAGCACAGCCACACGGGATCCCACTTCCCTCTACTCTCCCGGGGCTATGCTTCATGAACTGCTTCACACCATTCTGTTTAGCAAATGCTCCACCATCTTGCATATGGGAGGGGTGGTTCACGCTGCCCTCTGCGTGGATGAGGAGGAGCTTCGTTTAATCTGAAAACTGGAGCCCCAGAGGCTACCTGCCACCAAGTCAACCGCATGTGTGTAGAGCCTTCACCATGCCCTGCAGTCACCACCTCCACGTTGTCAAACTTATTCTGAACGCACACATGGAAATCTTGCCATCAGTTCGAGCTGAGAGTGGCCGGTGTGGGAGGAGGGTGTCTGAAGAGGCCCTTGCCCGGGCCTGCCTGTCAGCCATGTTGTGCCACATTACCCGTGTGACACCTCGTGGCCAAGTACCACTCGGGTCAGCCCGAGCGCTCAATCCCACGCATACTGGCTGGAGCTTGCTGCTGCTTTTCTTGGGGTGCAATGAGGACGCATGAATTCGTATTTGCTGAAGACGAAGCAAGCAGCCCTGGGATGTTCTAATGCTCTGCTGGGCTTCGAGCACACATGGACTGACCAGTGGCCTCTCTGAGAAGATCCCGGCACACAATGCAGACATTGACTGCCCCGTGGCCTCTCTGCCTCTCGGGGACTGTCATCCTTCCTGTGTGCTTGGACCGGGGTACAGATTCTGTGCTCCTTGGTGCAGCCCTCCGATCAAGGAAGAAGGCTTGTAAAGGGGGGTAAAGTGGATGGTGGCCCCCGGGCCAGCTGCACAGCGGAGGGGCAGCCACCCCAGGAGGCCGCTCTGCATGTGGAATGCACATTCTCAGGCCTGGCTTTCCCAGTGGCTAACTCAGAGTGAGTCAGGTCCTGGGCAGACAAGTAAACCGGATGGTATAAGACAGTGGGCAACAGTGGAGCCCAGAGCAAGGAGCTGAAGAATGCAAAGTCCCCACCCAGCCTCAGGATGAATGTGTTGCAGGCTGAGTAGCCTGCAAGTTGAGGCTCAGCTGTTGGAGAAGATGGCTGCACGTACTGTACCTCCCAGAGAGGGCCAGACAGAAGGAGCAGACCCTCCGTCCCTTGCAGTCTCTCTAGACACCAACGTCAAAAAGAAGCACCTCCCTATCCTCGGCTACCAGATGGTACCGTCGTGAGCAGGTCCCTTCTGAGATATCTCAGGGCAGAATGAAAACAACCCCAGGGTCGCAGCAGCCCGCCAGCAGGGCCTGCTCAGCGCTCCAAGGCTGCGTGTACACTCCCCATGGCCCTTTCTGAACTGGATAATCCAAGGCCTCCTGAAAATGACTTCTAGACAGTCAGCAATGAGCTCCTCAGCACCGGCTCTGCTTCTTACTCGGCCTTCCACTCCACGCCCTGTGCATGCAGAGGTACTTCGGGTGGGGAGTAGTGTGGGGGGTGGAAAATGCCTGCCACTGTGACACTTTCTCAGAGGATTGCATTTCCTGCCTGGTCCCTGCCTGTGTCTCCAGCCATTGTGTTCACTGACAGCCACTGAGAGGACCTTCAGCTAAGCACAAGTACCTGGTACCATCGGCAGTAGCCATGACAGTGCAGAGCCTTGCAAGGCCCGCTCTCAGTCCTGAAGATCTTCCACAGTTGTAGCCTGTCATCACCCATGAACTAATGAAGTCTTCATGCTCATGGACAGCAGAAAGCTAGATCTGCCTCGTTTGGACTTTGCCTAAAAAACCCAGGACACAGCAGTCTGCCCCGGAAGCCCAGGTCTCCCATTGCTGGGTTCCCTTGGCGGCTGTGGCTGTCCCTCGAGGGTCTTCGTGCTCTGGGCAGCTGCAGAGGCAGCTGTCATGGAGCCGTGATGTCACAGGCACCATCATAGAGGAAGTGGTTCCCGGAAGAGGTGGCAGCCAACCCAGCCTCACCAGCCTCCCACAGGAAGGGACATTCCACACCGTGGCCAGCTGACCGTGTCCACGTGGAGCCAGGCCAGGTCCTGAGGTCGGCCTCATGTCACGGCCTCTCCTCAGCCGGCGCATCCTGAGGCAGAGCGGGAGCAAGCAGAGTTCCAGGCACAATGCAGACCCCAGGTCAGGTGGAGGTGGACGGACTGCCAACGTTAGGGCTTTCTGGTGATAAGACTGGCGGCTTTGTATCTGGAAATTGCTCCGTGCCATACTTTAATAAATGCCTTGTGCGCAGCCTCAGGGTCACAGCTCGATCGCCACCTCTGACATTCAAATCCCCTCTCTTTGCAGCTCTGAAGGATAGAATCAATTATTGTCAATCACACTGCTCCCACCGGAGCCCTTCTCCAGGCCTTCTCCTTACGCATCCTAGAATAAGACGCCGCCTCTGATGAGAGTCTATTGCAGAGGCAGAGGCTGAGCATGCTGTGGTGAGTCACCGGCCTCTGCACCCCCATGACCTCCCTCCCTTCCTCCCCAACAGCTGGGACATTTTCCTGATGATCATCGCCGGCATGAAACTGCTGCGAACTTCCTTCTGCAACCCGGTCCACCAGTTCATCAACCTGAGCTTCACCGCCATCTTCTTCCACTTTGACTACAAAGACACTTCCGAGGGCTTCTTGTTGGATTTCTTCATGGTGTCCATTTTATTCAGCAAGGCAAGTTCAGTGGTCATTTTCTTCATTTTCTAACACGAGAAAGAGGCATTTCTCATCCCCTGTGTTAACGGTTGAAATGGATTCTTTATTTAAAACGCATAAGAGGAAATGTGAGCAGGCTGCACGTATATGTTACAGTCAGGATGCTCTCCACTGAAGACTGGCAGGCAGATTTATGTAGTCCCTCTTTTATTTTGCCTTGAGGTGACATCTGTGGCCTGGCACTTGGCAGCTGTGCTCCTTGGGTGGTTTCATTTCCTTAGTTCATCTCAAGCTAAAGTTCATCTGTTTGAAAGTAGGCCATGAGCCCTTCCAGCTACGAGTCACTCAGACAAACAAGTAGAGACGGCACCTGGGCCTGAGACAGAGAGGGCATGTGGCCGTCACTCCCTTCTGGGGTGCACTCTGACCACACAGCCTAGGTTTGTAGATGGGAAGGGGGGAACGTGGACGACTTCCGGTGAGTCTGCTCTGTGGTGGCTCCTTCTTCCTCCTTGTTTGCCCCTCAGATTATGTCCTTGTGGCATCACTGGGTTCTCGCCCAAGCCTGACCTGATCAACACGTGGCCCTCAAGCCATGATTTGACATTTTAGGTCTGCCCTCCTCCCCCGTTTCATTTTTTTCACTTCTTCCTGAATTATGTTCACCAATTTTTGTCCATACTTCTCCTCCACCTTCATTGGCTTTCTCTTTGATTTTTTGGGTCACAAAATGAGAAGTCTGTTAAAGCACCATCACAGACAGTAGGTCCTCTCTCTTCCTCTGGACAAGAAAGGATTTCTCAGACCCTGGCCTGATCACCAGCCCACACTATTTTCCTGTGGGTCTGGGTGTCTTGGTTCTGAGTGATCTGTCTCACTTCCTACCTATTCAACTCTCCAGCTTCACTGTGCGCCGATTCCTCTTCCCTCCCATAGTGAGAGTAGGATTGCACACGCCCACTCTCCTCTGACAAGCATTATGAATCCCACCACGGTGAACCCAGTCCTTCTGGAACCTCAGTTTGCTGTGAAATGGAAAACAACAATGCCTATCCCTCCCCAGTATGGAGAGAGCTAACTGATATGACTGTAAGTAAATATGAAAGTGGCATGCCACAGCAGAGGGCATTCCGGGCCTGCCCGGCCCCGAGAGGCTCAGGCAGGAGACACCATCCAAGGGAAGTCAGCCTGGCGCTCTTCCCACACCTTCCTCCCTTGGCCCTGTCATCTCTCCTCCAAGCTCTTCTTTTCCCCTAAGTAGAACAGTGACACGCTGGCCACATCCCACTGTGTCTTGGGTGGCGGAGGCCCAGGAGGGTGTGTGCTTGGGGATGCTGTTTATCAGGAGGGTGTGTGGAGTGGGTGTTGTTTGTAACTGGACCATAGGTGGCATTAGCCTTCTCACTCGTTCCCTTGTCCCGTGGGCTGTGGGAAGCCAGCCTTCCTGGACAATCTCAGCACCTGGAAGAGGATGCAAAAGTATGGCCTGAAAACCTCCCTCCCTCCGACAACTTTGCCGCATGTTAGAACACGTTCGGAACCACATTCTGCAGGCCATTCGTTCAACACAGAGCCCTGCCTTTGCCATTTAGCAAATTAAAATTAATGGAGAGGGTGTTTGATGAATAATTGCACGGGACCGTGTTCTGGGGGCTGTGGTTCAAGTTCAGGCGCTGGGAACATTTCCAAATGGCATTTCCCTGTATTCTGTGAGAGCAGATGGGCAGTCTTGAGTATGAGTTATACAAAAAGCACAGCCACTCTTTTCTTATTGTTAAGGAATACATGCTTTTAGGAAGGTATTTGTCCAAAATACCTTGTCCAAAAGAGCAAGTGCTCACTTGGTGAGCGTACCTTGGTGGGGCTGTGCCGGGGAGGCACAGGGAAGGGAAGACAGCAAACCCACCCATCTGGCTCTTCCCAGAACAGGGCACCGTTCTGGGGTCCGGTTTCCTTCCACTCACTTCCTGTCACAGAGTGGGCTTATCCATTGTCGGTCCTTTCCAGCCCCCTGGGCCCTCCAGCCGGGCTGGCCCACAGCGGGCTCTACACCCAGGGAGGACCGGCTGTCCTCACCGTCACCCAGACCTCCACCCGCACTCTCCGTGCAAGGCTGCATGGAGAAGTGGGGCAGGAACCAGAGATATGTGAAGAGTTGACCCCAGGGCCTTGAGCAGCAGAGGCCAGCCCCTCCTTCCCTCCCTCCCTCTGTCCCTCCCTCCATCCCTCCCTCTCTTCAGTTGTTGGTGCTAGGGTTTGAACCCAAGCCTTGCGCTTGCTAGGCAGGTACTCTACCACTTGAATCACAGTCCCCAGGTCTCTTCACTGTGGTTCTATTTTCAGACAGGGTCTTGTGCTTTTGCCCAGATCAGCCTTAGACAATGATCTTCCTGTTTCTACCTCCTAAGTAGCTGGGATTTCAGGCACAGGCCACCATGCCTGGCTTAGCAGAGGCTTCTTCCTAAGCCCCTGTTTTATTGTTCTCAATATTCATGAGCCAAAGGAGGCATAGAGAGACACAAGGAGGGATACCTGGGGCCGGGGCTGCAATTAGAGCACACAAGTGCTGGATCCGGGACCCCTGGACATCTGATCACTAGATGTACAATGCAAGTTGCTGTGCTAAGCAAAAATAAAAATAAAAAAAGCAATAGATTCATTTAATGACAGAGCAGTGAAGCTGGGCTAGTCGGAGCTTTGCACCTGGAGATGAGGGCTGCTGCCGGATCCCAGCACTGGCCTGACCGACGTCCCAGCTTTTGGAAGGTAGTCTCATACCAGCCGTCCTCTGCAGACCCCACAGAGCAACCTTCCACAGCCCGTGGTCCATTCTTGGGGCGTCTGAACATCACTCTTCACCGAAGCTACCCTGTCTTCTTCTTGTGCAGTTTACCTACGTGTGCTACAGGACAAGTTGTTAGTAACAAAGCCAGGACCTCTGGGCAGTGAGGAGATGGCTTCCAGGGCAGAAGTACTTGGTCTGAGGGCAGAGACGGGCAGGGTGCCGCCCCAGTGGCCTCTCAGGACCTGTCCTCCTGTCCTAGCCCAGAGGTCCTGCATAATTTCCAGGATGGCACATGCCTTCCCCAGCAGGGATGACCATGGGTGGAAAGGCAGGGACCATGGCTTGCAAAGGAAAGCTTGTCTTCTCCCAGAAGGAAGTCGGGCTGGAGTCTGGCTAGAACTCACCTCTCCATCCGCATGCATCGTCTAGAGAGTGGTACAGAGCATGGCCAATGGCTTTGCAAGAGCCTAAGGCAGGGCTTGGGCAGGTGCAGCCCAGGAGAACACTGCCTCTCTGCTGTGGAGCCCTTCCAGAAGGACCCAGAGGCGTTAGCCAAGCCCGGAGCAAACACAAAAGCTGCCCCTCTGGCAGACCAGAAGCAGACACAGTCAGCCCTCTGTGTCTAACAAAAGTGACCTAGAGTAAAGATTACAAAAATCACTCACCTCCTTTGCAGAATTCTCATTCCCCTACAGACCCCAGGAAGAGTCCACCTCTGTTCCTTCCCCACATGTCTGTGTCTAGACCTTTCCTCCACCTGCTCCTCCCTGCTTCTTTCTTACCTCTCCTGCTCCCTTAGTGCCCAACATTCTCTCTCTCTCTGTCTCTCTCTCTCTCCTTACAAGTCTTCAGCTTTCATCTAAAATCCACTGCTAGCTTGTGGCTGGAGTCCCATGGACAGACACACACACTTAGGCCCAGGGTTCTGCATGCCAGCAGCTGCCTGTGACATTGGATGGCCATTTTGTATCTGCTGTGCTTTGTAGAACTTTCTTCCTGGGTTCCTGTCTGATGGCCAACCCAGTTTGACTTCGCTACACATTCTTTTCCTGGAAGGCCAGTAATTGTGAGAACCACAGGAAAAGTAAGGGGAGGGTACCCCAGTAAGAAAACCCGGAGAGGACCCCACCAGCTTTTCTCAGAGCAGATCCCAGTTACCCCATCTCCTGTTGGCTTTTCGGTGCTGGGCCAATAAGTCTTGCCCGTTCTTCACACCATTCCTTGGTGTCCTTGTTCACCCAGCCAGTCTGGCTTGTCATGATGCCCCTCATGCAAACACTTAGAGCTCAATTGAGGATTCAGATTTCCTCTTCTTGGTGGCCATGCCTTGGTGGAGAGTGCATGTTGTTATCCGAGATGCTAGCTAGAGTGGGAGGGAGGCCGCGGTGCCCTCTCAAATTGCCCAGTGGATGGCAGGGAGGGGGGTCACGGGGGGGAGCAGCCTGGTGTGGCCAGGACCCACAGCATCTGCAAGTGGCAGGGGTGGAGCTGTGCCTCTGTGGCTCATCTGCCACTTTCCACAGCCAGGCGCTCAGTCTCCCCGGCACCCTGCACATCCACGGGCAGAGCCGGCCCCGAGCTGGCGAGTGTCACAGATCCTGCTCAGTTCAGAGTAGGCAGGTAGTTTCTGCAGCAAGAGCAGCCGAGGCGAGGCCGTGAATTCCACACGCAACGCTGAGGACCTCGTGCAAGGCCGTCCCTCTGGAAGGAAGGCCGGCAGGAGAACGGTCCAGGCACATACTCCTGTGAAAGGGGCCCCGACCCACGTGTCCGGGGGTGGACCTAGTACGTATGCCAAGGAGAGCCGCCTATGGCCCCCTATGGCAGACTTAAGGCATGAGAGGCCCGTGCTCTGCGCAGGACGAAGGAAGGTAAGGTGCACAGGCTGAAGGTGCCCACCGGCAGTGGCAGGCAGCTTCCGCACAGGCGGCAGCAGCCAGGCCGGCCTCTCCACTGAGTCTGCTCTCTTCTCTCACAGCTCGGGGACCTGCTGCACAAGCTGCGGTTCGTGCTGGCCTATGTGGCCCCCTGGCAGATGGCCTGGGGTTCCTCCTTCCATGTCTTCGCCCAGCTCTTCGCCGTCCCGCGTATCCTTTCTCTGTCTGCCCTCAGCCCGCTCAGGGAGTCATGCTGTCTGGAGGGGAACTCCTAGGGGAACCCGGCACCAAAAACATTTTAATGGGGGCACGGGGAGGCGCTTGGGTCCCCTTCGGGCCACTTTGCTTTAAAGATACCTCCTGGTCCAGGGCTCCTCTGCTCCACAGTGTGCATGCACACACACACACACACACACACACACACACACACACACACACACACGCCTTCTGTTTTTGCCAATGCTTCCTTTTTCTATGCCCAGAGCTGCAGTGCGACAGCCCGCCTCCTACATGGAAACAACATCCACAATCGGGCTGGCTTGTGCAAAGTAGTGCAGATTGATTTGCCATTATTACACATCACTGAGCTGGGCGGAGGCACGTATGTAATATTATGTTATGACATAACATAATTATTATATATACGTGTGTACATACACATTTCATCACTGTTAAAAGCACAGACCTAGAGATGAATGGAATTCCCCATATCTTTGAAGATTAAAACAATAAATTGCTGCTTAGTTTCATGATTATTGGCAAAACAAAAAAGGCTTGGTTTCCTTGAATGCTTCTATGTTTCTGCATGATAATTCATTTTAATTCATTTAAAAACCAACCTGACATGCCCTTCTGAGGTTCTCCTGACATAGCTGTTTTCTGTGCACATGTGCATTCCTGTGTACACATGAGTATGCACATGTGTGTGTATATGTGTGTATGGAAAGACAAAGATGTTAACTGAAAAATTCTTTTTTGGGGTGGGGGGTCCGGTCGTGGGGCCTGACCTCTGGACCTGGGCACTGTCTCTCAGCTTTTCAGCTTAAGACTAGCACTCTACCACTTGAGCCACAGCACTGCTTCTGGCTTTTTTCTTTTTGCTTATGTGGTGCTAAGGAATCGAACCCAGGGCCTCATGCATGCAAGGCAAGCGCTCTACTACTGAGCCACCTTCCCAGCCCTACTGTAAATATTCTTGAAGAGAGAGATTGGTAGAAAGTTTCCAGGCCTGTGAGGTTTCCTGTTCCTCTGTATTTGTACCAGTTTGTACATTGAGTAGACTTTATGGGTTTAGGAAAAGTTCTGCTCCTCAGCAAGGCTGAAGCTCAGGTCTGGGCTGCTCAGCCTCGTGGGAGCTGCTGTCTGTCAGTGTTTGTTGGACACAGCGTTGACGTAAGGTGCATTGAAGTGATTCACAGGGGACCAGACTGGGACGGGCTAGCTGTCCAGCCACGAAAACCCTGGAGAAGCACTGAGGGTTGATATGTTGCAGAGTTAAGGCCGTCTCCTCCAGGGTTGTTTGAAACCTTTCGGAAAGCAAATCAAGAGCCGCCGTGGAGGGGCGTGTTCTGGCTTGTCTGGGTCCCTGCTCCCAGACCTGCCCTGGCATTTCTGAAGTGGCTCAGGGTTATTTGGCAGAACAAACCTAGAGAAAGCATTGGCACAGGGTGAGCTCACCCGCCCCCTTTCCTCTGACTGAGGTTGCTCCTGTGGTTCTCTGCTTCCTTCAGCAAGGTCCTGGGGCTCTGGAGGGCGGCGTGTCTGTGCCTCCGTGGGCATGCGTGGCCATCCCAGCCAGAGGTTGTCTGGCTTTGTCCCCAGCCCGGCAAACAGGCCTCGAGGCTCACACCTGGCACATGCTGGCCGCTCGATGTCTGCTGTGCAAATCCAAGCAGCATCTGCACCCATCTCTGCTTGGGCTTCTCCCGTGCCCATGCACTTTTTCCTCAGAGGCTGAAGCAGGAAGGGTGCAGAATTGGTGGCCCACTTAGTAGTTCTAGAACATTCCATTGATCTCTTGCTGTGTTTCCACAACTGTGCTGTTAGTGACATCCACTCCCATGGGGCCTGGACCTGCCTTCGTGGGGGCACGGAGGCTGCCTGGGCTCCGCCTGTCCATCCCACCTCCCCACCTTGGCTTGGGTGTAAAGTATGCTGTCCATGCCACAAGCTTTCTAACACCAGCCTGGATCCCGACGCTGCCATGTTAATTATTTTATCACCCCATTAAACTAGGGCCTCCAACCCAGCACGAGAACGGAGTAATTTACTCCATTCTGGAATTGAATTGGCTTTCGGGCCCACAGGGCCCAGTGGGTAAATTGCTTTCTCCAGTGCTAGCACGTTTTCTCCCCACGTCTCTCTGTTGGTGTCTGAACTTGTAAACCCAGGGGAAAGCCGGGAATGCAGGCGCTCTACGTGTGTGGAGCCCGTGGGAGACAGCCGTCTTCAGTAATTAGACAGACGCACGTCCCACGCTGTCCCTGCCGAACGCGCATGTGCAGGGAGGCATCCTCACCACAGCCTTCCGAGCGTCTGTGACTGCTTTTCACCATTCAGTGATCAGTGCCTGTGTTCCAGCCCTTTCCCTGGGCTACGCCCCGGGCTCTCCCGGAGACAACTGCAGAGCTTCGGGTGCCCCATGTCGGGCCCATCCTGCATTCCGTGGTGATGTCTGTCCTGTGTGCCCAGGTCTGCCATGTGACTCCATCCTTGCCCACCCCTTCGCCCCCCGGCAGATGACCCACTCGGTCATCCTTCACTCCAGCCTCCCCCCACCCTCCGCCTTGCTTCACGCCACTCTCAACTCCACACACTGACCGTTACAAGTTCCAGACTCCTGTCACCTCTGAGCAACTGCCATGGTAAGATAGCAAACGTGAGGTGTTGTCTTCGGGAGTTTGTGTCCTCATTGAGGGGCAGACTGCACTGTCCAGCCCCAGACACACCTGACTGCATGTGGCTTTGTCCTGTTTGCCTGCACACTCTGCTACCTAACCCCCTTCCTCTGTGCAAGCCTCCTGGTGATGCACACGTGGGCACATGTGCACACACACATACACATGTTTATTTACAAATAGTGGGAAAATGTTATTGAAGAAACTGGTGCTGGCTTCCCAAATAATGATATTGTTATTGTTTATTTATTGTTGGTTGCAGGGCTTGAACTCAGGGTCTGGGCACTGTCCCTGAGCTCTTTTGCTCAAGGCTAGTGCTCTACCACTTTCAGCCACAGCTCCATGTAGTACATATGTTGAGTGGATAATTGGAGATAAGAGTTTCACTGGTACTTATCTGCCTGAGCTGGCTTTGAACCACAATCCTCAGATCTCAGCCTCCTGAGTGGCCAGAACTATGGGCATGAGCCACAGGCACCCAGCTGTTTTTTTTTCTAAAGTATAATTTAATTTTACTGATTTACTACTTAGTAAATGTGGCCGGCACGTGCTGGGCAAGCAGTCTCTGTGGGAGGAAATGGTCTTCGGGTCTCGGGTTTCAGGCCTTTGTGAGTCAGTGGTCTGAGGCCACAGGGGTTTGAATGAGGACTGCAGGTGTATATGGTGGGACATGCAACCTGCAAGGATGATTCTGGAAGGTCTGCATTTTCCATCTGTGCATAGAGATGGGGGGTGTCCTGCTTACAAGCACAAAATGAGGAGCAGGGGTTCTGAGGAGGGTCCCTCCGGAAGGACATTCGTGCCCATGGCGGTGACCTCTGTTTGCCTTGACTCCACCCTCAGATTCGGCCATGCTCTTCTTCCAGACGGTTGCCACGTCGATCTTCTCCACACCTCTGAGCCCGTTCCTCGGGAGTGTCATTTTCCTCACCTCCTATGTCCGGCCGGTGAAATTCTGGGAGAAAAACTACAAGTAAGAGCTACACCTGTGCCATATGCCTCCCCACAGGGGCCGGGCCTGCAGCCTCTCCATGGCAAGCTCTGGCTCTGAGTGGATCAGGCTTCAGGCAAATCCGAACTCGGGTGGACTTCCCACCTTATCAACTCCGATCCTGGCACTGAGGCTCTGGAGGAAATGTGGCCGCTGGTGAAGCCCAAGCAGGAGAAAAGACCAGGGCTCTGGGTCCTGAGGGGAGAGCTTTGCGGGCCTGGCTCTCAGAGGGTGACCAGGGCGGCATTTCCCCGTGTCCCGCCCTCTGTCTCTGCACACGGTGGAAAGCCCCCAGCTGCACGCAGGGTGTTCCCCTGCGTCCGCCACTACTTGGACGAGCTCTGAATTTCCTTCCGCCAGTGATAGGCTGCCGCCCCTTTATGGGTGGGGGCTGGCTCTGGGGATAGGTCTGGAGTGCCACCCTCACTCGGCTGCCCATCTGCCTCGCAGCTCACCAGTCCAGCCTAGGGAGGAGGGGCAGTGTCCACAGAGGGAGCTCAGGGGCATCCTACCACACCCTCAGGGAAGACTTGGGCTCAGCCTGTGTGAGGACGGCCCGGAGCCAGGCTGGCCTCTTTCTGAGCTAGTTGGGTCTGGTTGGGTCCTGGCTGTTACCCGGGAACTCTGACCCTCCCGTATGGCGCTGGCCCTTGCCATCAGCAGAGCCCTGACCGTTGGCCATGTGCTCTGTCCTGTCTCAGGGCCGATGGCTCCCAGCTTCTCCCATGAGGTGGTTATTTGAACACAGTGGGCACCGTAGACTCCCCAGAAAGTGTGCTCTTGGGCTGGGCCTGCCCTGACCACCGGGGCCATGCTCACAGTGCTCACCTGACTCCACATATCCACCCTGGGTCTGTGTAGCCAGGGCTTGGCCTTCAACTCACGATCCTCCTGCCTCAGCCTCTGGGCATGCTAGCAGTAGAGTCATCCGCCACCATTTCTGGCTGTCTGCAAGTGTTTTTAGGAGAGGTAACAATTCTGGGGCCCTGATTGTCACCCCTGAGCAGTGTGAGCTTCCTGAGGGGCAGAGAGGGGGGAGCACTGCCCCAGGAGCACCGATGCCCAGGGAACCTTTCAGGGTGGTTCGTAGTAAAGGGTAGCCATCCTTCCACTTCCCTGTAGGCCCAGAAGCCCCTTCCAACCCAGGGCAGACACCCACAGCCTGCAGAGAGCCCAGTGCTGGAGTGGGGAGGAAGGGGGGCACAGCAGAACCAGCTCCTCATGAGGCTTGTGTCCTGATCTAGAAGGCGGTGCGCACCCCCAACACCACTATCAAAGACCCCTGTTCTCCACGTCAGGCCCTGCCCGGACTCGGCCTTCTCACACTTTCTCTTTTCCTTACTCTTCTTTAAGACCATGCCTTACCATGTACCCAGGCTCATCTGGAAGCCCGCCCTGGCCTCTGGCTTATGATCCTCCTCCCTTGGTCTCCTGAATGCTGGGAAAGCAAGTGTGCACCGCTGTGATTGGCTCCACTCACTTTTTCCTCCTTCCTTCCTTCCTTCCTTTCCTTCCCTTCCCTTCTCTTCCTTCCCTCCCCCTCCCTCCCTCCCTCCCTCCCTTCCTTCCTTCCTTCCTTCCTTCCTTTCTTTCTTTCTCTTTCTCTCTTTCTCTTTCTTTCTCTTCCTTTCCTTCCTTCCTTCCTTCCTTCCTTCCTTCCTTTCTTTCTTTTTTTCCTCTTTCTCTTTCTTTTTGCTAGTTCTAGGGCTTGAACCCAGGGCCTGGGAGTTGTCTCTGAGCCTCTGTGCTCAAGGCTAGCACTGTACCACTTGAGCCACAGCACCACTTCTGGCTTTTTTGAGTAGTTTATTGGAGGTAAGAGTCTCTTGGGGACTTTTGTGCCCGGGTTGGCCTCAGCTCTCACCTGAGTGGCTTGGAGTACAGGTGTGAGCCACCGGCACCTGGCCCATGCACTTTTTCTTAGTCACAATGCCGGCGCCAGTGGTGGCTGAAGGGCTGTGATCACCATCCTCCAGCCCCGAGAGCGGCACATTCCTGGCTCCCAGGAGAGTGGCACGGCTTATCTGAGGGTATTACACATCGTGGAACGGGACCCTGCCCACTTTTCACACCTGGTCCCTACTGTGAGACCCCTTCTTGAGCTGACCCAGAGGCTGGGATGTGCCGGGCTGCACCCCATTATGCAGGGTCAGGTGGAAGAGGCAGTGAGGTGGCAGAACATGGGTGCAGCCTTCATCTTCCCACATCCACTGCTCACTACCTCCCCTCACCGCCATGGGTGCAGCCCAGCCCTGCCCCTCTTCACGCGACATTTTCTCATTTGACAGATCAGAAAAGGAAACTGAGGGCCAGCACATACAGTACCCAAGGTCTCAGAGCCAGCAACCAGCTGAGCTAGGATACTAACCCAGGTCTGGCCTTATTCCAAGCCCCGAGCACTTTCCATGAAGCCCCCAAGGCCCATCACTTCACACACAGGCATGCATGTGCAAAGCATCCTCAGGACAAGTTGTCTGGCCAGCACCCAGCCTTGCAAGAGCTCACATGGCGAGCAAACACCAGGCCCAGGTGTGCTGGGACAAGTCTCCAATCAAAGGAGGCGTGTCCCTCCATCCGCCCTCGCTGTCCTCCTGTCCCTGTCCCCTGTGCTGTCCTGCCCTTGGATAGAATGGCCGGCCATCCCCAATCGCACCCTGGGTTGGCTGTAAGAACCAACCCTACCCAGCTCCTTACCCAGCCTGCCAGATTCCCTGACCCAACGTAAGACATGGCCTTCCGCACTTGGTGTGTGTTGCTACAGGGGACCGCAGTGATACCAGGAGAGAAAATTACTGTTAAATGACTAGTCACTCCTGAACCCACCCTCGAGCGCAGTGTTTGAGGGAGGGAGTGATGGGATGGGCAGATGGTGGTGACCCAAACACCACCCCCACCCCCAGCTCTGCCCCTGCACCGGGCCGTGTTTACAGAGAGAAAGGGGCTTCTTTGGAGAGGCCTGGGAGGGGCACTGGCCGTGCCCCGGATGCAGCTGTCCACGCACAGTGACTCCGACAGGCGTACCCTGGGCATCTCCTGTGGTCTGCACCCTCACATCTGCATGCATCTCCCGAGATGGGGGTGAAATTGAATCCCCAGTCCTCTACTGAGCATCAGCTTTGACATTACACAATAGGACAGTAGAGACAGAAATCCAATTACTGAACTAATTAGCACCTGCATGTGGTAGGCAGGAAATTCACAGGAGGACAGCCCTGGGGTGGGAGCCCCCTACCCCCACCCAGAGCAGGGCAGGGGTGCGGTGCGGGGGTCATGTTCCGAGAGCCGAGACCAGGGAGCAAGTGGCTTGGCTGAATTCTTCCCATCAGAATTTAGCACCATGGTTCAGAAGAGGCTTTTGAACAGGGCTTCCAAAAGGCTTTGAATTCTCCAAGGAGGTTGGAAACTGGCTTTCCGTCCTCTGGGTCCCACTTTAAAAATCGTTTATTCTGCTGCAGAAGGTTCCATTTGTGGAAGGTCTTGAGGTGAAATTAAGATTCAGTCCGTGTGGGAGCTGAGGTGCAGGCATGGATTGCAGCCTGCTATGCATTTGTGTGGACAGCCCATGCTTCTCCTGTGCACGCAGGACCCTCCGTGTGTCCTCATCTGTGTAAATTCTGTAATTCTGCTGTCAATGTGGATTATGTTTCTAGAGAGAGGCCCTTTCTTCTCGTATTTTTGTTTTTTTAGATGGCAGTGGGGTTTGAACTCAGAGCCTTGTACTCATCCCTTCCCATCCCTTCCCTCCTCCTCTCCCCCCCCATCTCCACACCATCCTCCCTCCCCACTCTTCTCTTCCTGCAGTGTCACGTGGCCAGCCTTCACCCCAGTGCTGTCTCCTCTGCAGATCCTGCTCACACGCTTGTCGAGCCTGCAGGATCTAATCCTGACCTTTTACCTTTGTGACCCCTTCTAGAACAAGGCGCGTGGATAATTCCAACACGAGACTGGCAGTCCAGATCGAAAGGGACCCAGGTAAGAAGCTTTCTTCTACCTTCCTCCTAAGCTTCGTGTTTGTCTTCTCTTGAGGATAGACTCCAACAGGACAAGTGAGTGTGCTCATTCCTTACGGTTGTGATGGACCTGCTGGTCTTGGTGAATAGGCAAATGAGGACAAAGCCAGTCAAGGAAGATGCCAAGACTCCTGGGTAAATCTGGAAATGCATTCTTCCTTGTTGAGGACTGACAAGCTCTTGTTCACACTGAGTGACTCTGCTAGGCCATTTTACTCTGTGTGGTAAACGCCAGCACAGACTGTTAGCCCAGGGATTGGTCTTCGGAGAAGAATTCTTTGGAAAACAGCCATAGGATGTTGGTAAAGACAAGCCACTGCAGGATGTGCAATCCGGACCTCTCTAGAAAGCTCGGGCGGCCATAAGCTAGGGAAGGTTTTGCCTGCTTGAAAAAGTATTTGACTTTTTTTTTCTTTTCCATCATCGCTCTCATTTTCCATTCTTTCTCCTTCTTATCAGAGTGCAAATGTCCACTGTACTTTTAAATGAGGGGGATATTTTTAGTGACCCCACATCCTCCTTGGTACCCCAGATCTCATCTAGGAGGAATGAGATCTTGCCCATTCTGTATGCAGATGCCTAGGTGAGCCGGTGTACATTGAAAGAATACACCAGGACCCTCGGGTGCCACATTGGAGCTTGGCAGTGCCACACACTGTAGAGCGACAGCCGTCCCTTCACAGCTGTGGGGAGATGGGGCCTGCAGCGTGCCACCACCACCGACCCAGAAAAGAAGAAGTTGCAAACTTGGCAAGAAGAGTTTCTACTAAACATACACTGTTGTCACATCATTATAAAGTCAAAAATCCCCAAACCCAACCCCCTTAAGTTGGGCTCACCTGTATTTCAATTGTGTACACACAGTGAATATAAAATCAGAATTTAAGATTTGAAGATTTTGGAGACTCTGGGTTTTTTCTGGTGGACACTTGTGTCCGGGCGTGGAGGTGAGGGATGGGTGCATTTCTGTGTCTCCGTGGGACTCCATGATTAGCGGACCAGGGTGCCAGACACACGGTCAGCATCACCAGCACACTCTGCTTTCCACTGACCATAAGGACTGCCTCACAGGCCTAATCACACAGATGTGAGGTGGCTGCATTCTAAGAAGATGCTCCTTCAAAGATTTTAATTGTTTTGTTTCATTTAAATGTCAAACAACTTGAGTAGCCATGCAAGTGATGCTTCTCTCACTCAGGTCTTTCAAAGACCTGGGACCTCAGTGATCCTACATTGTGGTCTCCATGTTGGCATAGCGGCAGCCTCAGCCGGGATCGAGTGTAGGAGAGCAAGTCCCTGACATCTGACTGGTCCATGGTCATGGCCACAGGACAGAGCCCGTCGTAGTCAGGGTCAGGTGATCAGTGCACTGATTTCAGCTTGGCTTCACTGCCCAGCCAGGATGCTTATCGGCTGGCAGAATTGCTTAGAGCTTTCTGCACCTTGAACTACATGAGAGCCCGCAGGTGTTGACTGGGCTCTGGGCAGACTTCTGTCCATCTCCTCTGGTGTAGGCTGGACCTCCTGTCCATCTCATCCACTGTAGACTGGATCTCCTGTCCACCTCCTCCAGTGTAGACTAGATCTCCTGTCCACCTCCTCTGATGTAGACTGGACCTTGTGTCCACCTCTTCTGGTGTAGATTGGGCTCTGGGCAGACCTCTGTCCACCCCTCTGGTGTAGACTGGACTCTGGGTGGACTGTCAGCCTGTATCTCCCACCACCAGACTCTGTTTTCCCACGAGATGACCCAGAGGGCTACTTGAGTCTTACTTCTAGTGGTTTCTCTTGGGGGGAACTCTAAGCCTCTCTGGCTTTCCAGACATCCTTTCGTCCCCCAAAGTAAAGGTCCTGAGGTGGACTGTTGGTCCTTCTTCCACACCCAGGATGGTTTCCACACCCACGGCCTGAGGCAGGAAGCTGGTGATTCTGTCTTTCTTTAAGGAGCATACTGAGATATCCCAGTGAGGGGTGGGGTGGGGCCTGGCAGGAGGACCCAGGGAACTCGCTATCCAGCCCGGCCCTGCCCTTCCCATATCATGCTGGCCGTCCATGGGGAGCAGGGCATCCAGTCACCCATCCCCTGTGCCTTGCCACATGAACAGCACCATATCCTGCCCAGGTGCAGAACTTGAATGGCCACGGCTGGGGACACGTGTGGCCCTGTGAAGAGCAGCAGCCACTCCCCTGTATTCACTCAGGAACCAGAGGTCACAGTGCCTCTGCCCAGGATACCTGTATGGTTACACACTGGTTGCTGTCCCAAGGCCCTGTGGCTGACGGTGGGCATGCAGGCCGCAGTGCGTGTGCAGGGACCACTGCTGCCCAGCACCAGCAGCCAGCTGCACGGCCCACATTGAAGTGTGAGAGTCTAGGCTGACTTGCACCCATGGAAGGCCTCCAGGAGGAAACATTAAGCAGCAAAGTCAATACTGTCTAAGCTCACAGTTCTCAGCCAGAGAATCTGTTAGTTTGTTAATTATCACTTGCATCTAGTCAGTAGTTTAATTCATGTGTCCCAAGGGCTGTTGCACTGGAGTCCAAAGGGAAAAGGTGGTCTCAGAATGCACGAAGATGGGTGGAACAACTCTTTTGGAGTCTATGAAGTCGAACTTGCATGGAGGGAGGGTGGGGCCTTGAACTCAGGGCCTGGGCACTGAGCACAAGGCTGAGTACATAAGCTCAAGGCAGGTGCTCTATCACTTGAGCCACAGCTCCATTTCTGGCATTTTTGGTGGTTAATTGGAGATAAGAGTCTCACAGGCTTTCCAACCTGGGCTGTCCTCAAACCGCAATCCTCAGATCTCAGCCTCCTGACTAGCTAGGATTACAGGTGTGAGCCACCGGCACTTGGCCGTGAAGTCTAATTTTCCCCATAACAAGTGACAGCCTGGGACACACACTCACTGACCCTCTCCCGTCTGCCGCAGGAAATGACGACAACAACCTCAACTCCATCTTCTATGAGCACTTGACACGGACCCTCCAGGAGTCCCTCTGTGGGGACTTGCTTCTTGGCCGGTGGGGTAACTACAGCTCTGGCGATTGCTTCATTTTGGCTTCAGATGACCTCAATGCCTTCGTGCACCTGATTGAAATAGGAAATGGTCTTGTCACCTTCCAGCTCCGAGGGCTGGAATTCCGAGGTAGGAGCATCTCCACTGTAGGCGTTGTGGGGGAGGGATGGCTGAGCCAGGGATGGCCAGATGCCCCGGGGCAGGGGAGAGGCTGAATGAGACGGAGAGCTGGCCACCTTGCCCTCCATTCAAGTGTTCTGATGTGCAGAAGCCGGTACAGCGGGGGAACAGCTACTCCATCACACCCAAGCCTGGGGGCTGGCTGATCCAAACGTGGCTTAGTCCCTCCAGCAAAACCCAGGACCAACCTAGCTCTGTTGGGCAGAAATACTGGGGACTTACATGAACGATTGTCTGTGAGCTGTTTTTGTTCCAAAGAACAATGCCACAGCTGCTGTGTAGTCTGAGCGATCTTGTGGCAGGGAAGGTGTTCCACCAGTGTCGGTTGCTCCATGTGTGTTGGGGCCGTCTAGGTCTGCGGCCCTGGTGCTTCTGAGAACCCACAGCCAGAGTTGTGCGGTGGAGCAGGCAGGGTGTGGCATCAGGGAGCACACTTACGAGAGGTCTATGGATGGGGCTCGGAGATGAACTCACTGCAGAGAAGAAAGGGTGCCCTGGTGGGCAAGATTGTGGAGCAAGGCCCATAGGTGGAGAAAGGAGAATGTTCAAGGTGTAGGAACTGACCTGTGCCAGGGTGTGGCCAGGCCAGGGTGATGTCTGGGACTGGCCAGGCCGGCCAGCAAGCCAGCTGCAGCGTGTCTTGGGGGAGGCCAGAGCTGAGCTTGGGGAGCCGCGTGGGGTCTCTGGGGAGGGAAACAGCTGGCTACTTCACACTTGAGGATCTGTCGGCTGCACCTGGAGGCTTCTAGAAGAAGCCAAAAGACGAAGCAGGGCCAGTGAAAGATGGTACCGAAGTCCCCTGGTCAGAGGTGGGGTGGGCACAGTACAAGTAGATGCTGAGGGGAGCTGCCTGCAGTCCAGGTCAAGCATCACGGTGGGCAAGGGGCGGTTACCAGTGGGATTGTCAGGAGGGGCAGTGAACTGGGCTGGGCACACGTGCCGAAGGGCTCCTTTTGGATGTTTCATTTTTAATAGGCTCTGGATCTACCCAGGCGAATCCATCAGGCAGAGAGGGGCCCTGGGTTTTCATTTTCTGTCCTGGGGAGCTGGGGACTCACAGGGAGCACGGCTGCACGTGGGGTGACTGTGTCCACCAAGGTGACCGTCACTTGGGGGAGGGATCCCCTTCCACTGAGCTTGAGTGTGAGGGCTGTGACCCACAGGGCACTGTGGGCCAGAGGGGCACACAGAGATGGCATCGTCGGGGCACAGGCCAGTCCAGCAGAGGTGAGGCGAGATCTGAAGGGGAGGAGGGATTCTCCTTGGGCAAGAAAATGGGGAGGAGGGGTGACAACAGCAAGGGGCCAAAGGGCCAGCCATGGCCTCCCATGGCCAGGCCGGCGGAAGCATCAGAGCCAAGGCCAGGGAAGTGCGCAGAAGCTCCCACATGGTGGAGGCGCCTTTCAGCTATGCCCCTGTGCCCGTTGTTTCCCATCCTGACCTAAAGAAGGCATGTCTCTAAGTTCTGGGGTGGGGGTCCCTCAGCCTTGCCTCCGTGGACATTCATTCCCTTGTGGCTCTGCACAGAGGACTGTCTCTGTTGTGGAGCAGTAGCTCCTGTGTCTGGAGCATATGTCCAGTGCATTTCTGTGAACATTGGGACCGGAAGGAGTGACGTTTGGACCAAACTGTGGGGTTCTGCAGAGTGATCAGGAAGCCGGTTTCCAACAATAGGAACGTGCCACAAGAGGCCATGGGGCGGGGGGGTGGCAGACCCCGTCTCAGGGGCTGAGTGGAGGCATGTCCCCTGGCTTTCCCAACAGCAGCTACCTGGAGAACTCTTCAGGTTTCCTTGGAATTCCAGGGAAGACTTTTCAAAGTTAACTTAGTAGAATGTGAGTTATGGTTTCTATCACAAGTTCTAGGTAGTTGTCGGCCTTATTAACAAACTTAACTAATCTTTGAATTCAAACGGTCCAAAGTTGATTAGATCTTAGGCGAAGTGATTAGATCTTAGATCTTCTGCCTGCCAGCCCCTCCTCAAAGGCAAGGTCCTTCTCAGTTATGAAACATCTGGATCTCTACTGCTACCCAGCATTGCCTGTAGTGTAAATGTGTGGTGTAAAGTGGCACAGCAACAAGAGAGCAGCGACATTGCAGTATTTCTCAGCATTGCGTGGTTGACCAGTTGTCCAGGGTGGGTCACACACATGCTGCCCCAGTGAGGCTGTAGTCCTGGATACCACACCCCAGGGTGAATGTGACCTTAGAACCCTGGATGGGCGCTACCTGGTTACCCAGACTCCACATCCTGGCAAGGCCCAAGAGCCTATGGGACTCCACGGAGGGCAGCACGCCTCTTCAGGGCTGGCCTTCAGGATGGGCGCCGTCGACTGCCGCCACATTCCAGTGTCCAGAGTCATGTTCAAGAAGAGCTCAGGTTCCAGTGGTTGCACAGGGGCCCTGTGGCTGCCTGGCACTGCCAGGCCATCAGAGGCAGGGGGGTCATTCTCTGGGGCAGAATGTTGTAACAACCAGACTCCTGGAACCTCACAGGGTAGAGAACAGATGACTTCCTGTGTGCTCAGGGCCATGCTTGGGAGGCCAGACTGAGAAGGGAAGGGCTGCGCTAGGGCCTGAGGATTCCTTAGACAACCTCAGTTTCAAGGGCAGCGGGCCCCAAGTTCACTTCAGCATAGCAACACCGTCTTGCGGAAAATGCCAGCCTATCCAGCCAGGCTCGCTCAGGCTCCTACAGTGCACCGCCTTCAACCCAGCTTGACCAGAGTTTGGGACACGGGGACTTTAACTGAGCCTGCAGCCTGACAGAATCTAAATTGTGCTTTTGTTACAGGAAGAACTCCGTTGACCTAAAATGACTGTTCTGTTGATTCTCTCTGCAGCACACACTGTGGCGTTCCCCAAAGCCTGTTTATATCCTTAGGTGTTGTTCTAAATATCCTTTCCTTTTCTTCTTCATTCTCTATTCTTCCAGACAATAGGCTTTATTGTGTTCAAATTTAATATACTCCCATTCAGCCGGGGACAGTGAAATCTAAACTTGTGGGTCTCTCACCTCTAGAACGCTGAGGAAACGAGTGGAAATGTGAGCTGCATTCAGCATGAGCCCTTCCCTCCCTCCCTCCCACCATCCCTCTCTCCCCCCTCCCCCCTCCCTCCTACCTTCCCTCCCTCTGTCTCTGTCTGCCTCTCTCTCTCTCCTGGGGATTCAGCCTCCTCTGACTGTGTTCATGCCAGGCAAGTGCTCTAATACTGGACTATACCCTCATTCCTGATTCCTTCTCAGGAAGTGAAAAATACACAAGAGAAGGTGGCCATGTCCCCAAAGCCACAGGCAAGAAAGTCCCTCTGGGGCTGGGAAGATGGCTTAGTGGTAGAGCGCTTGCCTTGCATGCATGAGGCCCTGGGTTCGATTCCTCAGCACCACCACATAAGCAGAAAAAAAAGCTGGAAGTGGTGCTGTGGCTCAAGTGGTAGAGTGCTAGCCTTGAGGTGAAGAGCTGAGGGACAGCGCCCAGGCCCAGAGTTCAGGCCCCACGACCGGACCCCCAAGCAAAAAAGAAAGAAAAAAGAAAGTCCCTCTGTCATCTTCCACGCTGAAAGTGAACGTCCATAATTCTTAGCTTCAAACCTCAGACATCAGCTCTAGCTACCCGAGAGGAGAGGAGAGGGCGCATGAGAGGGCACAGGCTTGCCCAGCGGGCAGAGGGGAAGGGTCAAAAGAGCCACATCTGGACAAGGGACCCACATCAGTGACACTGAGCCTGGATACCAGGTGGCATGTCCCCAGAAACTGGACAGATGGCCTGTGCTGTCACCTCCTTCCTGACCTCTCCCATGGCCTGCCTCTTCGTGTTACCCGTTCCCTGGTCATATTTGCATGATAAACGGACATGCTAAGGTCATGCGCATGTGCCCCAGATCCAGGGTGCCCCAGGCCAAGAAGCATCTGACCTTGCGGTTCTCATGGCTGCTGGTCACCTCTCACTTAAACTTGGGGGCATCAGTTGAGGCCACACTAGAGGTTCTAACAATGTGTCTAAGTGACCAGTCCATGACCAACAGACCCTTTGATGTGCCTGGCATTCCCTCAGAGTCTCTCCTGGTGCCTGGCCAATGAAAGCACTGCCAGCTGCCTACACGTTGCCCCCAAGGTCACCTTGAACATCCGTACAGAGCTGGTGGAAAGTGGAGGATTATTGTAAGCCAGGCCCAAGCCTTAGGTTCAGCATTTCTGTCTACATCCTATGGTCCTGTGGTCCCTGTTGAACTGACACAGTCACTGGTGGGCTGAGGAATGCTTTCCAGTGTCCCAGAGGAAAAGCAGCAGCTTGTGGACAGCTAGTCTCTGGCACAGAGCTTCGTGTTCCAAATATAGAACATAAGCTTCCATTCTGGGCAAGCACCTCTCATACCCTGTCTCAATCAACACCGTGTTGAATGATTAAGACAAGGGTGGCATCAGGATATGAGTAGACCGAGTATGTGGCCCAAATGGTAGAGTGCTGGCCTAGCAAATACAAGGTCCTGAGTTCAGCCCCTACTGTTAACAGAAAGGAATCTAAATAAGTCAGCCATATGTTTCTGTTCTATTCTTTTTGGCCCATTCAAGCACAGAATAGAAATAAATTCCATTCTTGCTCACCTGAGAAATCAGGACTGTAGGCCTGACTGCTCTTGCATTTGCATACATGACTTACATCTCCCTAGCCAAGGAGGCTTTGAGGAAAACACACAAGAGCTGACGGCTGAATCTAGGTCAAGGTCACAAAGCAAGTGAGAAGGCCAGCAGGTTGAGGGGCACCAAGTATAAATTTTGTCAAGAGAAACAGAGTCTGCTGGGTCAGAAATCCCAGGTGGCCACCATTGGAGCACCAGCTGGGAAATCATGTTACCCTGCTGTCCCACACTTCCTGCCTCCTCACCCCACAGTGATGCTCAAGGTGACCTTGGAAGAAGAAAGTTCTTTCGAAACAGGCAGGGCTGCC